CATCTATTGGGTTAATAATGGAACTAGGAAAAAAATAGCAATGAATCTGGTACTAAAAGGAAAACAAGTCGTTCTCTGTACTCCCATTCATGATACCAAGTGTCCAAATGTATGGACATTTTTTTCCTACATTAACTTTCTCTAGATACTGACTGAGAAGCCTAGAGCTTGCTTTACTTATGATATCTCCCAGGAGATAGATCCCACAAGTTAAAGGACTCAGTTCCACAGGACTGCCCCACTTTAGATGGCAATTATAAGATGTATACTGTTACCTGTACTTCTGAGCAACCAGCTCCAAGTTAGGAGTGCCTATAACCCCCTCTTCAATTTTGATCATTTGTTCACAGGATCCAGAGAAATATTTACTTACATTTCCTGGTATTAGGAAAGATTCTACAAAGGATAGAGAGGAACAGCTAAATAAAACTGAACAGTATTAGGTCTGTGGAAAGGGGCACAAGTAATTACTCCTCCAGTACCTCCATCTGTTCACCAGTAGGAAGCTCCTGGGACCCTTCAGGTAGGGTTTCTATCTAGATTCCTTTATGTAGGCATAATTGATTAACACACTGGCTATTGGCGATTGAATTCAACCTCTAGTCCTCTCTTCTAAGGGAAGACCCTCTAATCACAGAGTTGACTCCGCAGCCACTAGTCCCCAACCCTCAAGGATCAAGGTACTGGCATAAACTCAAGTATGGTTGAAATGGGCTTATTATGAATAACAAAACACATTTCCATTCTCACAACCAATCAGAAAGTTCTAAGGGGTTTAGAAGCTCTGTGCCAGGAACCAGGACAAGATCCAAATATATAGTTTCTATGATGTCACAATATCTCAGGGACCATAAAAATCATCTAATCCAGACCCCATCTTCATTTTATGAGTGAAGAGAGGGTTTGGTGGACATGCCTGAAGCCGTATGGTTGGTTGGTAAGCCTTCTGACTTAAGAGCACATGGCATATGCAACTTCAGGATGTGTACCTGCTCCCTCAAAAGAGGACTCTTGATAAGAGAGCAGCAGATAGAGCCAGAATCTTCCTACTTGTCTCCTGTGTGCTTGAGACACATGGAATTATCAAATTTAGTCAGACCCAACAGAAGACATGAAGTCTAGATGGTTGGATTAAGCTAATGAACTGATTAAGTACTTCCTGAAAAGGCAGAGGCATAAGTCAGATGCCTTGATTATGTTAGTTCATGGAATCCCCAGAACACATCTTTGGAGGAAGAATGCTCATCTTCAGAGTTAGGACAAGCAGTGACAAGAGAACTCTACAGGATTGTGAAACCAGCAGAAGGAAAAGGAACTTCCTCACCTAATTGTCAGATTCCCCAGCCAGCATCTCTCTCTAGCTGAGGAACCCCAAAGGTTGAGGACCTGGGTTTGGGAGGTCCTGGGCCCCAGGGCCATGAAACAGGGCTCAGGCTCAAGTCCTAGGGGAGTGTGGCGCTTTCTCTGAGTTTCTTCTGTGCTTTCCTTGTGAGTTTCAGGTCTATAAGTAGCTTTATACCTGGAATCTCAGCAGGCAACAGGTCAGAATCTGGGAGGAAGGGCATCGTGGAGAGATGGCCCCTTCATGCCTTGTTGCCTGAGGAATAATTGCCATTTTACATTTCAATTAGGCAGGGGCACTGGGGTCAATCAGCAGCACCACTAGAGGAAGATGTGCCCAGCCCATTCCTGGGCCTCTCCAATTATTATTAATGAACTTACTCTCAGAACCGCCATCCTATTTTATATGCAAACTAGGCCTTTATGAGGCCACTGCTAATAAGGACTCATTAGAACTTCCCTAACAAGATTTGGTGAGAATCTTACAAGGCCCTAGTGAGAGAGAGGCTTTAACTCCTGCCATCTTCTGGACAAGACAGGGCTCCTGCCCATCTTAAGAGGGTTTCACAATTCCATCTGGCTGGAAAGAGTCCATCCTGAAGGGGTCGTGCCCACCAGGGGGAACCTGCTCTTTTGTGAAGGCTGGAGAGTGGTGAGTCAAGCAGTCGACACCTGGGTTCTCCAGTTGCCCACCCATCTACTAACATGGAGTCATTCATTGTCTTTCCTCTCCCTGACTCAGTTTCTCCTTTGTGAAATAGAAAGGGGTCAATTCAGTTTGTGGGAGGACTCTGGGGTTCCAGGTACCTTTTGTTTGATGAATGGAAGCAGCTGGTGGAGGAGATGGAGGTGGAGGAGATGGAGGTGGAGGTACTGGCACTCTTTGGCTCCGTCTCCAAGCCTGCTCATCGATCCAGCTCCCTGAAGGGAAAGCACTGGCCCACAGCTCCCAGTTTCACAGAGCTCTAGCATCACGCACCTCCCTCTTCAGGTTGAGCACCAACCTCTCCAGGAAAACATTCCTTTCATCAAATGACACATTCAGTCTTGACAGAGCGTGGAGCATCAGGTAGAAGCAGAAGGAACACAGAATGGAGCCATCGAGACTCCCCACACGGCTATCTTGAGGTTCCCAGAGACTCACCTCTTTAGAGCCTTAGGACCTGTGTAAGGCAAACATCAAGGCTATGGTGTGTCCTTGGTCCCTGCTCCCCCACTGCCCTGATACCTTGACACTATGTTTTAGGTTTTGGTTGCTTTAATTTTACTGACATATACAAATGAAAACAAATTCATTTTAACCAGTTTTTTTTTTTTTAATCCAACAAGTTTATTGGGCTTGCTAACAAGGCATAGGGTGCGGGTTTATTTGCAGAAGAGTGGGCACCCCCCCCCATTTTTGACTGCGCTGAAGTCCACACTCAATTATAGATCCTGAAACTTCCCAACAGTTTTAAGGGTATAGATAGTTTGTTCGCGTCCTTGTATACCATCCCCACAATCTCCGATTAAACTCTCCTTGTGGAGCAACTCTCCATTTCCCCTCACTTCAGACATCACCATTCTCTCTCCTGTCTTGGAATCTGGCTACTCTTAGCTACTCCACACAGATGGGATTCATGTGGTATATGCCTTTTGGTAGCTGGCTTATTTCACTTAACATAATGCCCTTGGTGTTTAGGCATGTTGTAGCTTGGGTTAGAATTCCCACCCTTTTTAATGCTGGATAACATTCCACTGAACAGATATGACATATTTTGTTTACCCTTTTATCATCCATGGACATTTGGGGTGTCTCCACCTCTCAACTATTGTGAATGATGCTACTGTAAACATGGCATACAAGAATCTGTTCAAGTCTGTTTTCAGCTATTTGGGGGACATCTAAGGAATGGAATTGCTGGATCTCTTGCTCCCCTTTGAGCAGTTCTTCATGGAAGTGGTACAAGACATGCTGGATGAGCTGGGGATGGATGGATTGGCAGGCCTGGGTGCTGCCCTGCCACTGGCTCATCTGTAGCCAGTGGTCTCCCTTCTCTGGCTCCTTCTCTTTCTCCTAGCTTCCCTCGTAGCTTCCTCCATCCTTCTCTCCCTCTCCTTCTTCTGTGACTCCTGCTTTTCTTTCCTCCTGTGCTCTTACTGTGAAAGACAGAGGGAGGGTCACACAAGTGATGGGAATCATGACTGGTTGAGTTGGACAGGGCCTCCAAATCCCACCTGATGGACAGAAGAGACATCGAACTTCAGAGTAGGGGTGTGCTAGGGCTGCTCAGAAGTTCAGTGGGTGGTGGAGCTGGCTCAAGTCTTCCCCTGCAAGGCCAGTCCCATCATGGTACAGCTATCGGTGGCACAGGGAGTTAGTGGATCCTTTGCTTTGATGGCAGCTGACAGTTACCTGATGAGACCCCTCTAGTAACTTCTCCCAATGGTTTCCTTTATCCATCACTGGTAGAGACCAGCATTGGGGAAAAAAGCAGTAGCCTCTGCTAAGAATCAGCAGTGAGACTACAACAAAGCATCCTTTAGGAAGGACATGGGTGCAATGCTTCCTATGGCCAACCTGCCCAGAAGCCCTCTCATTTGGCAGGCCCTGGACAATGCCTGGACAGAGAAAATTGGGATGGCGTAGAACAGAGCACCTGCCTTCCTTCCTTTGACTCCTTCCATTCTCCCCCTAGGCCTCCTAGGTTAGAGCTGATTGCCTCAAGAGAAGGAGGCCCATTGATTTGTTTCTTCCAACCCCAAAGGTGGGCCCTCTGGGATTCCATAGGTGCCATGCCTATGCAGGCATCTGTGTATCTGCTCTAAGGGGCATTTCTTCAATGTTATGGCATCCCTAAGGCTTAGTCAGAGCTTCTAGACTGGAAAGTTCACTGAAGACTACTCCAGAACATTTTCAAGTGACAAGCTCAGCCCACAACTATAGGCCCTCTTAGTTTCCCCATCTGCGCTCCAGATTAATGTTCTACGGACAGAGCTGTGGCCCAGGCTACTGATTCCCTGCATACCTTCCCACACAGCCCATCTGTCCCAACTCTTGGCTGCCTGGAACTTGGCAGGCAAAGAGGCCATCAGTCCCCAGTGAAGCAGGATGCCCAGACGGCAGGGTCAGTCCCTGCCAAAAAGGAGAGGAATCAGCAGGGAATCGTAGGCCTGCCAGAGCATCCGGAGTGTGATGTGGCATTAAAATGAACCTGAAGAGGCCAGGGACAGACTCCAAGAGAAGTGGCCTCAAGACAGTGACATTACGACTTAAGACTTCTGGGGCTGGATAAATGGCTCATCAGTTAAGAACACTGGCTGCTCTTGCAGAGGACCTGGGTTCAATTCCCAGCCACTCACATGGTGGCTAACAACCATCCTTAGCTCCAGTTCCAGAGGAAACCTATACCTTCTTCTGACCTCCACAGGCATTGTATGACACAGGTGCACTTACATACATGCAGCAGTAAACTCATAGATATAAAACAAAAATAAATAAAATATTTAAAAGACTTGAGATTTCTCATCCCCATTCCTTCTCCATTGTGCCAGGGTAGGCACAAGATGGTCATCTGGGGAAGAGGCTGTGACACAGGCCAACACCTTTGTAATGTTTGCAGAGGACTGTTCCTTTGATTTCCTGGATGCCCAAGCTGAGCCACACTCTCTGTCCCCAGGACTGCCCCCAGTTGCTGAGAGTGGACAAGATCCTGGTACCAGTGGAGGTGATCAAGCCCATCACTCTGAAGGCCAAGAACCTCCCACAGCCTCAGTCAGGACAACGAGGCTATGAGTGCATCTTGAACATCCAGGGCAGTGAGCAGAGGGTGCCTGCTCTGCGCTTCAACAGTTCCAGTGTGCAGTGTCAGAACACCTCCGTGAGTTGTCCCGTGACCCTGTCACCCTGTGTGCCCTTGAGCCCCATCAGCTCAACCCTGCAGGTCTCCCACCCTGCAGATTCCTGTCTCCTTTTCTACCTGTATCCTTTCTTCTACCCCTATCCTGATCATCTAGTCCAACCCCTTCACCCATGAGTTCTAAGACTACTGAAGAGATCACCAAGTATCTGGCTGATTGTTACTGTGGTGTGGTGAAGGTCACCTGTACAAGATACACTGTTGGGCCAGTATGGGGCCACAGAATCCTGTTTGTGGGCAGATGTAACTACAGAGAGCTGGCTCCATGAACATTCTTGTGTTTCCTCTTTCCCAAGAGCCACTCTGGAAGCTTTAAGCCCTACCTTTCCAGTCAGGCTGACCCACATGTTGTATTTGACCCACAAAAGTCACCTTCAAACCTATACAAAGGCTGTGTCCCAGCAAAGAAGGTTTGGACAGACTGTATCAGCAACAGGCACCATTGTTGGGGCAAGAGCTGGCTACTTACATACCCTGTCCAGTGTTCACAAGCACCATAATTAAGTCCAAGCTCTGCCAATGAGGATCAGCAGCCTCCAGGCTGCTAACAACTGTCCACTGAATTCCTAGGGAACATACAGTGCCCCTGACTGTGTGTCCTCTTTCCTGCCTACCTTGTTCTTTTCCTACCCATGGTATCTTCCCCCCATGGCTCTGGTCTCTTTCATTCCTTCTGAGTTCTCTTCTCTGCACCCAGATGCTTGAGACAACTTTCCAGCAATGAAAAACTTTTTGGTTCTTGACTACTTGAAAGAAAAGATAGAAGCCTGATGTGGTGGCTCGTGTTTATTGGACAGCATTTGCGAGACTAGTGTGGGCTACAAAGTGAGACTCTGTCTCAAAAAAAAAAAAAAAAGAAAGAAAGAAAAACTCAGAAAATAAGCAGTTAAGAGCATGTCTGCTGTTACAGAGGACTTGGGTTCGGTTCCCAGAACCTACATGGCAGCTAGCAACCTTCTGCAACTGGAGAGGAGGAAGATGAGAAAGAGGAGGGGGAGGAAGCAGAGGAAGAGGATAGGGAGAAAAGTCAAATGGGAGGGAAGGAGGGAAGGAGGATAAAGGCCCAGAAGCCAGGAGAGGATGCAGATCCAGACTTGTAGGGCTGAGACTGATGCAATTTTGGGACCTTCTTTAGAATCAAAATGTAAGAGGTATAAATTTAGATTAGAAAGCAGGGCATCCAAAAGCAGATGCAGGCCCCAAAGCTAAGGCTCTGTTTGCTTCTAGGACACCTGCCCTTGTTAAAAGGTATTGACTTACCAAGTCACATGGTGATGAGTAACAGAGCTGTCTGAATTTGGGCTGCCCCTCCCCATGTCACACTGTCTTCCAGCCTCTCCTGTAGTTGCTATTGGGTACTTTACATGGTGACTATGTTTGAGAGTCCAACACGGGACCCAGAGAATCCCACAGAAACAACTGCATGGGAATACACCTACTCTTCCTGTAGGAAGTAGTCTAGGAGGAAATAGAGCTCAGAGAAGACCACATGCTTGTTCTAGGTCACTCAGTATTTTGGGGACTGGTCCGTCCCCAGGGCTTCTCAAATGCACTTCTCTTGCCTCTGCGGGTAGCCAGACTATTTTTCAGATTTCTGCAGGGTTCTAGATTAAACCTGCAAGGGCGGGAGGTATTAAATTCTTCTTGCTTCCTCACAAATCCTGAGGCCAAGCAGATTAGCTCCCAAGGGTTTAATTCAAGTAATTGTCTCCCAAATAAGGTCCTAGTGGAGAGAGGAAGCTGGGATCGCCCATGTGACTCTGTAGATGCAGGTGGGGATTTCAGTCCATGGGGAAAACAGCCTCTCTTCCTGGGAGATGCTGCCCCTGGGCTTGGAGAAGAGTCTGGAAGGAAGAGCAAGTTGGTGGCCTTGGTTCCCAGAAAGAGGGTCACAAGTATCACAAGATTCCCTATGGACCCTGTGCTTAGGCTGACTTGGTCCTATAAAGCCCAGCCCTGGTCAGACCTTCCCCAGTGCTTTGGAGACTAACTGAGCTCCCAAGAAGCTATTGTTCTGTTCAGTGCTGGCTCAGAAGCAGGCTGTGTTGGCATGTCCTCAGCACCCCTAAGCCAAGGGTCACCTGTCCATTGAGCCCTTTGCAGCCACTGGAGACTCTCTAAATGTAAGGTTGACATCAGAGCTTCCTAATAGAGCACAAAGGGTCAGGTGAGCACTGACCCTCCTCCATGGTGGTCCATGAGTGCATGGTGCTAGCAGCCAATCGGCACAAGTGGGAAGAGGACAGGACAGTACTCACCTTCAGTCTGTCTGCTCATCTCTCTGATGCTGACTTGTTGAGATTTCAGAACTCAAAAGGTGACACAGCTCCCCAGGCCCCTGTGCTCCTATGGCCCAAGTCCCAGGTACTTCCAGATCTGCTTCTGGGAGATGTTGGCCCATGTGACATTGACCAGAAGCAGGATCCAAGGACCTAACCAATCACCAAGGACAGAACTGGGCTCACTTGGGAGCTAAGGAAGGCCTGCTACTAACTGCCCTCAGTCAATCCACAGTTCCAACCAGTCCTGGGGCCTCGGGATTGGTACTCTCACAGGACCTCAGCCCTCTGTCCTTGATAGGACCCACTAGGATCCCACAATCCAGGAGAGTTCATCTCAGATTTTACTTTTTCTAGGAGCTTCTCTTTTCAAGAGGAGGCTTTAGATTCCAAAGCAATGCTGGTCTCAGCTAGGCTACCATGTCACAAAGCAACTTGCCTAGAAAATCCTCCTTAATGGAGGCAAATCCCCCTCCGTCAGAGTTATGGGTATCACGAGACAGAAACAGACCTGGGAGAGTATTCTCTTGACTCTGTGAGGAGGGGGCCCTGAGGCCCAGAGAGGGCAAGTGGCTCTCTCAGAGGTTCAATTCAGGTAAGATGCAAGTTCAGAATTTGAGTCTAGTTTCATCAACACCTTCTAATGAAAGGCTGGACAAAACCAGCAGCAGAGCACTTTATTCCAGCTTTGGTATTATCCCTGGGAGCCAGCTGAGATCAGCCACAAAGAGGACTGTGCTGAAGAGATTGTTTCCTCTTTTTTCTAAGTGCCTGAGCAATCTGGGCTGGGGGAAGAAGTCTAATAGAAAAACCCAGGGTTGCCAGGCCAGAAGGAGGTTAGTGACAGAGGTCTCAAAGGAGAGCAAAGAAAAGGGAGATAAGAAAAGAAAACCCTGCGTGAGCATGACTCGGGGCTGGGTAGGCAGGTGGGATGGCTTCTAGCTCTACTATTTGGGGACAGACCTATAGTGGCTATGGCTCCTGGGGACAGAGGGAGGAGCAGAAGACCAGTCGCAGGCAGGCACTGAGGGAGCCACTGCGGGGGTGCATGGCCTACTTTAGACCAAGGCTCCAGGAAAATGTCAAGTACTGCTAATAATAGAGTCTACCACCTCCTCTCATGCCGGTGGTCACGCACGTGAGTGGGCCGCAAAGGGCAGCAGCGCGCAGCAGTGTTGGTCATGGAGGGAGGGAGGCCACTGAGTCAGTGCTCCAACCAGCTCCTAGTGCACTATTGTACTGTTCCTGTTCTGGCTTGTTTGTTCAAATGGCAGACCTCTAGCAAAATCTCTCAGCTCTCAAGACAAGGGGATGCTCAGACAAGGGGATGCTCAGAGGCAAAAATGATCCACCCCATAGAGGTCTTCTCTGCTTTACAAAGAGGAGAAGCTGAGGGTCGTACATCTTCAGAGTGATTGGGAAGTTATCCATTAGCTGGGCTGAGGTTTGCCAGACCTTGATTGAGATACTTAACCTCCTGGCCTCCAGGAGCCCATAACATCTCTTGCTTCCTGCATTCTGTGTCCTGCACAGCCCTGAGCTTTGTGCAGATTAACTGCCTACTGATTACAGAGAGCTATATAAATGCTAAGTGGAGCAGTGGGAGGGAGGTCGGGGGGGGGGGGCGAGGGGCAGGAGCCAGTGGTCCAAGCTGCCCAGCTTAGGGACACACAGAGAGTTGCCAGTGTGCTCCATGTACCCTGTATAGATGCAGGTCATCCAAAGAGGGAGGGGCTCCAGAACACAGTGACTTCCCTGGAGACCCAGGGGCAGTGGGGGCACCTGGGGTTAATGATGTCCTCAGTATTTCCTAGTTGCAATCCCAGGAAATGGAGGAGAGAAAGAAGAAAACAATGCCTAGCGTATTTGATCCTTGCAGTCTTTTTTTTTTTTTTTAATTTTCAATTTTCTTCAAAAACAAAGTGCATGCAGACATGGGTACACAGAAGAACACGTAAGCATTTTCATATGCACACATCTCCATATGTACCAAGTGTCTGGCACATAAACAGCTCATGGTTGCTATTATTATTCTCCATAAATATAAACACAGGCAGCACAAATAGAGTTTCACAGAGCATCCTCAGATGTATACGCATAGATTAAAATACACAATGCTCATTGGGAGCTTAGACCATGTGACAGGCAATGTGCTCAGAGTGTTGTATATATTATCTGCAGTCTGAGCAATAATCCTCACAGGTGTGTGCTGTCTCTTAATTCCCATCTTACAAATGAAGGATTCAAAACTTGGTCATTTGCTCATGTTCACACAGCTGCTATGGTGTGTGTGTGTGTGTGTGTGTGTGTGTATGTATCCCCACTTATAGATACAGATAACACGGATATATATATATATATATATGTACTCACCTTCAGCAAACATGCGTGTTAACCACATTTGCACACACGGATAATCACATACAGGCACAGGGAGAATTTTTTTGCCTTCCTTTCTGGGCCATTTCTGGACATCCAGAGAGAGGCTTGAAGGCTCCATTGATAATCTGGCTAACTCCATCCCAGTCAACCTGATGTTCTCACATTGGGTCCTGAGCAGAGTAGGCTTGAGAGACAGAAGCTGGGCTTCAAGCCTGACTTCCAGCATCCCTCCAAAGTCTAGATCTGTGATCTCCAGTGCTGCCACCAGGTGTTTGGTTGGTGTTCAGCTGGCCCTAGGCTCTACCCAGAAGCCTCCAGTGGTAAGTTGGAGCAGCTGGCCCTAGGCTCTATCCAGAAGCCTCCAGTGGTAAGCTGGCTTGTTTGTTCAGCTGGCCCTAGTCTCTACCCAGAAGCCTCCAGTGGTAAGCTGGAGCAGCTGGCCCTAGGCTCTATCCAGAAGCCTCCAGTGGTAAGCTGGCTTGTTTGTTCAGCTGGCCCTAGTCTCTACCCAGAAGCCTCCAGTGGTAAGCTGGAGCAGCTGGCCCTAGGCTCTATCCAGAAGCCTCCAGTGGTAAGCTGGCTTGTTTGTTCAGCTGGCCCTAGTCTCTACCCAGAAGCCTCCAGTGGTAAGCTGGAGCAGCTGGCCCTAGGCTCTACCCAGAAGCCTCCAGTGGTAATTCTAAGACCTTAATTCTCTCTCACCACCGGGCCTATAGCCTTGCAAGGAGAGAGAAGGGGAAAGAAAGGGAGAGGAAGAGACAGGAAAAGAGAGCAGAAAGTGTTCCTGTGTTTTCTCTCCCATAAGGGAGGGCACCTTCCCCCGCATGCTTCTCCCTCCTCTGGGACAGCCCCTGCCTCCCCACTTCTGGCAAGAGTTTTAAATTTCGGTCAACACTAGAACCACAGAGGAACTCTTTCAAATGTTCCCCATCTCCAGATAGTTAAATTCTGTACTTCTGGGGTGGGGCCCTAAAATCTGCTCCTCAACCTTGATTCTGCTGAGGGGCTTTTAGTCCATTCTGAGTAGCCAGAGTAGAGCAGATTTGAGAAAACTGAAATATCTTGGGGTGACCCAGCCTGACTAAGAGCCAACTTAGTATCTGGGGAGTTGAGTATGTTGCAGTCCCTCATCCAGATTTATTTTTCATATTTTCAGTCAACCACAATAAAAAAACATTAAATAGAAAATCCCAGAAGGAAGCTTTTTGACAGAACACCATTTTTTTTCCTGCAGAGCAGAAATTAAGCATGTCTTTGTCCAGTGTATCCATCCTATATATGCTACCTGCCTCTCGATAACTTCAGTAGATGACTTGGTTATCATGTTGACTGATAACCAAGTGACCAGTTAAAAAGAGAGGGAAGGAGAGTTGGGAAGGGAGGAAGGGAGATAACGTGTATAAAATTACAGTATGTTGTCTCAGTTGTTCTGATTTATTAGTTATTGTTGTTAATTGCCCACTGTACCTAAATTACAAGTTAAATTTCATCATCTGTATATATGTAGAGAAAAAAACAAAGTCTAGAGTTTAGGCATCCACTGAGGCTCTTCAGTATTTTCTCACAGATAAGGAGGGATGTCTGTACTGAGCTATAGTGTGAACAAAGCCTCCGCTGTCATTTCTACAGGGCAAGGACAGCTTTGCTGTCTTCTCTGTGCTCAGCAGGCATTAGTCACCAGAGGGGTTCAGTAAGAGTGGATGGTGTGCTGCAAACTATCTCTATTGTGCAAAGAATGCCGTGTGACTCTCTGGTCTGGGCTTATATTGCCAGGAAACGAGTTAAAACTTCTAGACAGTAAGGTAGAGAGCCTGAAGAAGCCTGTACACACATCCTGCTTATTCTGTTGTCTAGGACATCCAATCATACTCATGATGTGGCCAGTTCTGTAACTCAGAGACTCAGAGATTTCCCAGACCATCTTTTTTAGAAACGCTTAGAAAGAGGCAACAGACCTATTCCTGCCAAGAGACAGGGGCGTAGACTCCAGCCCCTGAAATTCTCCTAAGGCCAGCATGCCCAGTGTCTTCTCTTTCCCCCTCAGTGAAGGTGAGGTAGTCGGCTTGGAGAATGGATAGCTCCCACATCTTGCCTGATATCCACCAACACCCCTTATAGCCCAGCCCCTCCAAACCTCGGCTCTGGGCTAAAAGAGTCCATTGGATTTGCAAGTACAACTTTAAACAAGCCCTGTGGATGAATCTTTTCAGCAAATTGCCAACCCTCAGCCTCTCCTGTACAGAAAACCTGTTATAATTCCATTCCACCGTCCCACCCCCTGTGGCAGGAAAGTCTGGTGGAATAGTAAGAAAATCACCAGGTAAGGATTGGACCTGCTACCGGTGGCAAGCTCTGAGCTCTCCTGCTCAGTGCCTCTCTCTGCACTGACCAGTACCTGCAGTCAGAAGGAGAGCAGAGACTGCCACACCTGGGGGCTCTGTGCAGGACCACACATCTTCAACCCAGAGCCTCTTCCTCCCACCCTGAATCACCATCTCTTGCCCAGGGCAGCAGTTTCTCAGAATAGTTGGCAGAGGATCCTGGTGATGGACCCTGTTCAGGGACAGCCCCCATACCCAAGGGTAACTGCAGTAAGAAGCTGGGACTGTGAATGCCTTTGAAATCTTATTTAGAGTCCCAGGTTTGTCCTGGGCATGGGGGCAGTCCTTCCCAACTTCCCCAAAGCTTCTGTCAGAGCCACTTCCCTCTTACCCCAACTTCTCGCCACCTCCAGAGCATTGCCCCTTCATTCATTTTTAAAGATTTCTTTTAATCTTTGATTATGTGTATATGGAGGTGGGTGGGTATATGCATAAAGAGTGAAGGTAGCCTTGGAGACCAGAAGAGGGCATTGAATTCCCTGAAGCTGGGAGTTACAGATGGTTGTGAGCCGTCTGTCATGAGTACTGGAGACTAAACTCAGGTTCTCTGCAAGAGCAATGTGTACTCTTAACCACTGGGCCATCTCTCTAGCCCCCAACACCCCTCATTTTTATCCTTTGCCACCCATGCCCCTTGCCTTGGCTCTATTATAGGCCCATGGGAAAGAGATTACCTACCTTGAACATTTTCTAGAATTGACAGTTCCCTATATAGATACAGCCTGACAGGATCTTCTGACCAAAGTTCCCTGGACAGTCAAGGTAGAACCATGTTCTTCCCTGGGTTCATCTCCCTAGGGAAATGCAGCTGAGCAGGAATGTCTCCTGCCTGCAGCCCCCTTACTGTGAGACCCCTGTAAGTAAATGTATGGCTTGTCCAGTCCATTTCTTGAATCAGCCTTCACATATGTGCTATATTGCACAGGCATATTTCTGTATAGGTGTGCTATTGCACAGGCATGTTGATGGACAGGCATATTGCATAAGAGGTGTTGCTGAGTGGGTGTGCTGTCATACAGGCATGTTTCTGTACAGGTGTGCTGTTGCACAGGTGTATTTCTGTACAGGTATGCTATGGCACAGGGGGTTGCTGGACAGGTGTGCTCTTACATAGGCATGGTGCCTCATAGGTGTGTTGTCCCACAGGTGTGCTGTGAAGGCCTGGCCTCACTCTATGCTTTATCTTCTGGTCCCTCTGCTCCCCATCTGTCCATATACATATGTGCACGTATATACAAGGGCACACACACACACACATACACACATGCACCTGCACATACATAGTCTTGGCCAATCCTTAGTCCTATGTACACATAGGGGTCTCAGGCTAGTCTCTGTAGTCATCTCTGTGACATACTTCTGTTCTTCCCCCACCTGGCTGCAGTACTCCTATGAAGGCATGGAGATCAACAATCTGCCAGTGGAGCTGACAGTTGTGTGGAATGGACACTTCAACATCGACAATCCAGCTCAGAATAAAGGTGTGAAGAGGCAAGGTCTTATAGGGAAGGCAGAAGGAGTTGGGGACTGGCAGGGGGTGCAAGGGAGGGGAGGAGAGAGAGGAAAACAGCCCTACATTCTTAGACAGGTCACCCTGGGCTCTGAGCATTCCCTTTACATCCTCTTCTCCCTTCGTTCTTCCCGGTTATTTCTTGGCCTGAGCTCTGCACTGTGATAGCTTCCAGGAGGGTATTAGAGTGAGTGAAATTTGCTGGAAGGATGGCTAAGACTGAATGGAGACCTACAGTTTCCCTGTGACTACCCCTATCCCAAAGCACCTCTTGTCCTTGTCCTCCACAGTCTACCTCTACAAGTGTGGAGCCATGCGCGAGAGCTGTGGGTTGTGTCTCAAGGCTGACCCAGACTTTGAGTGTGGCTGGTGCCAGAGCCCAGGCCAGTGTACCCTGCACCAGCACTGCCCTGCCCATGAGAGCAGGTGGTTGGAGCTGTCTGGAGCCAACAGCAAGTGCACCAACCCTCGCATCACAGAGGTAAGCCAGGGCCAGGCCTATAGCCCACTCCAGGCTGCTGAGCCACCCTACAATCTGCTAGGGGCCAGGGACCTGAAGACCATACCTGGCTGTGGGGTCGGCCACCCATGCAGTCACCAGGTAGACTTGACTGCTCACCTAGCTGGGCACATCCCCATGTTCTTCCACAGCTTCCTCAGAAGCTTAGGCTTGCTTCCCAGATGTTTCCCTCATCCAGGAAGGTTGGGGACAGAAAAGGCTCCACTGCCTGTTGGACTCTCATAACCCCCCCCCCCGTGTGTCCAAGCATATTAATGGCAAGGCTGTGATGCTTCATCATTAGCAGCCTTACCAGTAGCTGGACAATAGTGAAGGCTGCACTGGGGTCCAAGAGGCAGAGCTCAGCTCTGGGAAGGGGCAGAAAGCCATAGCAGAGAGTGATTTTTTGCTCCTGTAAGCTGTAGGAATAAAAATAGATCTAGGTATAGTTCAGGAGGACCCTGACTGTAGAGCCCAGGGAAGGGCAGGGCAGAGCAAAGCACACAGATAGGGAGGCACAGCGGGGTCCGAACCTGGCTCCACAGCAGATTGCTGGGCACTCAGGGCTAATTCAGTCCTATCACTGTGCCTCACCATCCTCACCTGTGCAGTGAGTCTAAGGGGCCATCCCGTGGGAAAATTCCAAGGACCGGCTTAAAGGCAAATTATCATACATAGTACTTCGTTGGTTTCTGCAAAACTCTTGGGAAGCTCACTGACCTCCTCCACCTCCTACTTCTTGTTCATTATCAATCATTTTAAGTCCTTACCAAGGATGTCTAAACAAGGCAAGTGCTGCCCCTGGGATTGATACGCGACTCTGACTCTTCTCCCCATTCCACACTCCTAGCAGTGAGTCCACCTAAGTGCCTTTCTACTGACCTGGAGATCCTTACTGTCCTCTTAAAATTAGGAGGAGAGATGCGTGTCTCTTTCTGAATAGTCCCCAACATTAGAATTGAGTCTTCTACAATCCTCACCCCACCCAGGCACAGGGCTCAGAACACAGTAGGTCCCGCAATACCTCTTGGCCACAGTGGATAGTGATTATGATAATGAGGTAGAAGGAGAAGATGGGAGACAGGAGGAAAGCAGCTGTCTCTGCATTTGACAGTCCTGAGGACACACTGGTATCCAGCTTCATGCTGTTTCACAAATGCACATATTATGCTATATCTAGCAATAGTGGCCGGGGTCCTAGGCCATGTGTGTATATAGTGCTTTGGAGTTTGTACAGCCCCTCCTTAGCCCTTGTCAGTTAGCACAGCAGCCCTGTTGTATTGGACTTCTAGGGCTGCTGTGACCAAGTACCACAAACCAGGTAGTTTAGACAACACAAATGTACTATCTCAATATCCTGGAGGAAGAAGTGCAGGATCAAGGTGTTGGCAGGGTTGGTTGCCTCTGAGGGCTAATGATCTCTGTAAGGACCTATCTCCACATGAAGCCACATTCTGAGGTACTGGAGTATTATGGTTTAAATGTGAAATGTCACCAGCAGGCTCATGTGTTTGGACACTTGGTCCTCAGGTGGTGGCACTGTTATGGGAGATTATGGAACCTTTTAGGAGGTGGATCCTAGTTAGAGGAAGTGGGTCACTGGAGGGTAAGCATTTAGGGTGAGAGCCCAGCTTCCATCTGAATTCTCTGCTTCATGGTTCATACCATGTAACAAGCAACTGCCACATGCTCCTGCCACCATGGACCAAGCCCTCTGCTATCCGTTCCTCATCATGATAGACTCTGACCCCTGCACCATAAACCAAGATAAACTCATTCTCCCTTCAAGTTGCTTTTGTCAGATATTTAGTCACAGCAAGAAGAGTAACTAAGTCATGAAGTTAGGTAGGGCTTCCATCTCTAAATCTTGGGGTGGAGGACACAGTTAAATCCATTACACTTATAAAGGTCTTTTCCAGGTAGAACCCAATGTCAGAGCTGTGACTTTGCAATAACTAGAGTATAAAGAAAATGATGCTATCTCCCAGGTCTCCTGAGCACTGGATTCATTTTCTCTTTCACCCCAGTGATGGGACATACACTCTCCTCATAAACTGCCATGGAGACGAGTCTGAGCAGGAATGATTTTGTGAGTGAACACCCTTGCTCACATTTTGTGGTAGTGCTCAAAATGTGCCTCTTACCTCAGGCCCTTCATCTTCTGAATCCTTGGTGATGTAGACACCAGGAATTCCTCTGAGCTCCCACTTCAGTCTCTTGGCTGGGGTGACTTCCATATAATGATTCAAGCTGGAAGACCTGGAGGGCAGGTAAACATCCTTCAACCCACTGCCCATTATCCCCATCTCCTTGCCAGCCCACTTACAACCCTGAATCTCCTCTGTGGAACCACTATCCCTACCACAGAGTTAACAGCTTAGCCATCCCCTAGGCTGTGGTACATGGTATCTCACCGTGTGTTGAACCCAATCAGCACAACTTGCTTTCTTTTTGGCCTGAATCCAAGAAAAAATCACAGGGAGGAGGTAACAAATTAAACAAATCTTCCCAGGGCAGTAGCAGGGGCTACTTATTGTTTCCATCCTGGCATCAGCCCTGTGAGGGACCCAGGACTGGACCAGAGATAAAAACCATTCTTACAGGATGACAAGCCAGGGCTGGACCCTCATGTGGGTACCCCTACTAGGTGCTAGGGATGCGCTGGGGACTGACCATCTGGGAAGACATTAGGGGAGAGCCTAGCCATTCTCTCCTTGCCTTCTCCACATTGGCCCACCTCCCTCAAGTAGAGATGGGCCTATGTTGCCAAGGAAGCTACTTTCCACTGTAATGGGAACATACTTATATAAACTCTTATACCATGTGTATGCTCACTCACAAACATGTATGCCCACACATGCCTTACACATATGTAAGAAGAAGGAGGTAAATAGTCTACTATAGGTAAATAGCCTCCCCTAGAAAAGCTGCCACCAGGGGCTCAGCCTAGTGCCTTTTGTTCCTCCAACTTTAACCCCCACCCAGGACAGAGCTCCAAATATGACCTTTGTGGAGTGGGGCAGTGGAAAATGCTAGACAGGGGATTCCTGCCATCCAGATCCTCCCCCACCACACACCACCATTCAGGTGTAGGTTCTCTGAGAAATAAAATGGGAGAGGGCCTTTCTGTGGTGTGTGTAGAGTGGGAAGTAACAATTAGAGGCATTCACTGCCCAAGTCTCTTCCTCAAAGTAGGCCCCTGGATGCTGAATCCCTGCATTTTAATCATGGGTTTTAGCATTCATGGTGAAATCTTTGAGAGAAGGCTAGGCATATTGACCAGTCTAAATTAAAACCATTTAGACAAGAAACCCAGCCAACAATGAAAGTAAGTTATACGGCAAATACTCCTAACCAGAGAGACAGTGGGTTGATAAGGTACCCAACACCTTATCATGCTGCTCTTTGCAAGACTTGGAGCTGGAGACACATCTAGCTCCTGGAGGCTTAAGATCAAAATATCTGGAGTGGAGGAATGGGAAGCCAGACATTAGTAATAATTGTCATGAAAGTACAACAAAAAAGGTGTCTTGGAATTTCAGTGATGAGAAAGACCACCTAATTATGAAGATGGGACATTTGATCTTGAAAGGTGGGGTGGGGTGGTCCTAGATATGGATGGTTCTGGGTGGATAATGGTTTCATTGAATGCCAGAAGTCTATCCTGATTTTCTCTGAACTACTCAGTAACACTGAAGTCATATTTCTTCTCCTATGAGATAGGAAGATATACCAGAGGCTTTAAATATGATTCTTAAGACCACACATGAACATGGACTGCCTTACCTAAGGCTACAGCCTAATGATAGCCCCAAACTTCTCGACCTGCTCAAGGAGCTATACACAGAATCTTAAAGGGCCACACCTGCTCTGGCCCCTTTGGCAAGTTGGTGGTGATGCATCTTGAGGCCTGAAGGATTACCTCTCTTCCTCCCTGCAGATCATCCCAGTAACAGGTCCTCGGGAAGGGGGTACCAAGGTCACCATCCGAGGAGAGAACCTGGGCCTGGAATTCAGGGACATCGCCTCGCATGTCAAGGTGGCCGGTGTGGAGTGCAGTCCTTTGGTGGATGGCTACATCCCTGCAGAACAGTAAGCAAGAGCTGCCCGAGACATGAGGAAGAGTAGGAGGGGAGAGGAGAGATGGTGATACAGGCTCTAAATGTCCCATATCCAAAATACGTGGGACCAGAAGTATTTTGCATAGGGAAATTTTTTCCTCAGGTTTTAGGATATTTGCACATACATAATGAGATTGGACCAAAATTGACATTGGTCATACATACATTGGTCATACATACATACACAAAACTGAGATTGGTCATACATAATAAGATTGGTCCTGAAGATTGGACCAAAATCTAGAAATCCATTTGTCTCATATATACCTTATACACATAGCCTGAAGGTGATTATATAGAATATTTTAAATAATTTACATGAAACAAAGTTTTATGGTATAAAATTTTCCACTTATGGTATTATATCAAGACTAAATATTTCATTAAGACTTGCCTGATTAATGAGAGACTAAGAATAGGGATTGGGGGGCAGGAGAACGTGCCTAACATTGTGGAGTATCCATGGGGCTACCCACAACTCCCATCTCTACTAGTGAGATGCCATACCAGGGAAGTGTGGACAGGAAGATGCAAAATAGCAAAGAGAGGAGAAAAGTGACTGCTACCTACTTGGGGTATCCAGGAAGAGGTGAGAAAGAGCAAGATTAAAGTCTGCCAAGGAAGTGTGAATTCAGTTCCTTCTGTGGTCTCTAACTCCCTGTGTACTTCCCCTGTGGGGAAGCTAGCCCTGGGCTATCCTCTGTGGAGGCCGAAAATGAAATTCCATATCTACACTTGCGTCTGTGGGTGCTTTGGGTTATTTTTCTCATTGCAAACTCTGCTGGCTCACTCGGGGGGAGGGGGTCATTCAGCAGATGACCTTGACCTGTAACCCATCTAGTAGAGGAGATCCAGTGAGTCATGCATTGTCTTGTAAATAAATAAACACTATTTTCCAGCCCAGCAAGCACACTATGAAATATTTGTCAGCATAGTGGAATCTGTATTCCATACCATTTTACCCAGAGTATAGCCTTATCACCCCATCCTGTTTATATAAGGTGTGGACTCCTGGCAAGGCCTCCCTTAGGTCTGGCATGCTGGTTGCACTCCTGATTGCTGGGGCTTGCTGGATTGAACGATTCAGAGCCACATAGGGGCTGTGTGTTCCATTTTTCCTCATTTCCATCAGGGTCTCCCCAAGATACTGGTGGCAGGTAGGATGACTTTATGACTTCAGTGTTGGTAAGAGTCAGTCCCTTCACCTATCATTACTCAGTGTCCTAAAGATCTTTCTGTGGTTCCTAAAACATTCAGAGAACTTCCTAAAATCAAACCAAAGCAAAGTGCTACTGATCCACCATGCTTCCCTACCATAGAGGGATGAAAAATATTTTTATAAAGCCAGTTGATTTAAGTCCTGGGATATCAGCTAGATCCATTGAATGAGACAGAATACCCAAGAAAAGAATCCTGACATGTAAGAATTTAGTATGGGATGAAGGTGACAGTTTAAATTAACAAGTAAAGCGAGATCTTTCAATAATAATATCAGATCCTTATTTCATACTGTTCACCAATATAAGTTCCAAATAGACTAAAGAATTAAGGGGGAAAAAAATGAAACAGAAAAGATTAGAAAAAAAAATGCAGGTGAGAATTTAATTTGATTTCGTGAGGGGGAGGTATTCTAAGTGTGAGTGCAAAAGAAAACAAAGGAAAAGATTAAGAGGGTTGAGTGCATAAAACTTGGAAGTTTGCATATCAAAAAGCATTGTAAGCAAAATAATAGTGAACTTAAATCTGGGAATGTGGTTAATGCCCTAGGGGCTGATGTGGATTTTATTTCTGCCAACATCATAATCACCTGCACAAATAGACTGACTCTTAAATTACGTTTTTGAGAGTGGTCCTAAACCTAGAAATCTCTGTCTCCCAGATCTGTGCCCATGGATCCCTCTTATCCTCTCAACCTGTGCGGGTGGAGCCATCTGTGTCCTCACCCTGTGTGGATGGAATTATCTCTGGAACCCTGTTTCTCCCACTATATCCTCCCCTCACCATCAGACCACACTCATAATTTATTCAAATTTTTTCTCCAGTTTCATTGGAGAAGCACAAATTCAAGTTCTGCATTACCCTTAATCTTCACAAACCATCCAGTCTTTTCATCCCTAGTTCTTCCCTGATCCCCACTGCGTCCAGTGTGATGATGGTTGCAGCACTTTGATATGTTAATTCTAAAGCATACCCACATTCATTCATGATCTTTTTGGGTGGAGTATGAAACTGAGGTTGCAAAGGAGATGCCTAGTCATCAAACTCAGGAGCACATGGTTTTGCTGGGGTTAATTAAAAGCCATCAGTTCAGATTATGTCCATTAATAAAGCCATTTCCATAGTTGGGGATGGAGCTCACAGTGGGTAGAAAGCTTGCCTATCATGCACAAAGCCCTGGGTTCAATTCCTAGGACTTCATAAATCTGGTATAATCCCAACACTAAGGAAGTGGAGACAGGAGGATCAGAAGTTCAAAGTCATCTTCAGCTACATAGTGAGTTTGAGGTCAGCCAGATCATGAGATCCTGTTTCAATAAAAACAGAATTAAAAATGAACACCAGAAGCAATAGGCTCATTTACTTGTGGTGGGAGGGAAATTGGGACGAACTTCATAGAAGGCATTTGAAAATGTGAATCAAAAGTCTTAGCTGGAAGCCAGACATGGCTGCACGTGCCTTTAACACCTGCATCGGAGGATGGAGACAGGTAGACCCAGATAGCTAGCTATCCAGCCAGCCTAGCCAAAAAGGTGAGTTTCTGGTTCAGTAAGAGACCCTGTCTCAAGACAATAAGGCAGAAAGTGATAGGGGCAGACACCCACCTCCCTGCTCTGGCCTCAAATGCAGCATGCATGTGCGTAGGTACACCTACCCACACACTCATATGCATGCACTATACACTCATATACCACATGTAATCAATGTATGTGTGCACATTCTCTCTCTTACACACACACATACACACACAAAAATGAATGAATAAATAAATAAATAAATAAATAAATAAATAGGCAATAAAATTGGACACCTTCAATTGAAATAATCAAATTCAATAAGGCAGCCTCTGCCTCCTGAGTGCTGGGACTAAAGGTGTGTACCACCATGCCCAGCCCCTCTAATCCTTTTTCTTAATTAAAAAAGATTTAAGGGAAGAGGTGAGGCTGATAAATAAATAAATAAAAATTAAAAAAGAAAGATTCAAAGAAAGAAAGGTAAAAGGCAAAGTCTTAGCTGGGACCAGAAGCATAAACTTATAATCCCAGCTACTTGGGATGGCTGAGACAGGAGACTCTCAGGCTGAGACAGGAGACTCTCAAGCTTAAGTTCTGCCTGGATTAGAGTGAGTTTAAGGCTAACCCAAGAAATTTGGTGAGATCTTGTCTCAAAATGAAAAAAAGAAAGTAAAACGAAAGCTGTAGCTATAGCTCAGTGGTAGAGCACTTGCCAGGCATGAGGCACTAGGTTCAATCAATTCCCAGTACCCCCCAACACACACACAGTCTTTATCCTGGCCAGTGTGCTTCAGAATATTTCCTAAATAGTTAGACTGTGCACAAGTTTAGGTGCAAGAATGCTTATCTCGGTCTTATTTATAATAGTAAAAATTCAGAAGTACTTTTTCTGTCTAAAAATAGGGGATTCATCAGTTCAACAACTTATTGAACAGATGTTTCTCAATCTTTATTTACAGTGTGGTTACATCTTTTTTAGAAGTGTTGGGGACTGAACTCAGGCCCTTGTGCATGCTAGGCAAGTACTCTACCACTAAACAACATTCCTAGCCCTTGGGGTTATATCTTTATAAACCCTTCATAAGTTGAAAACATCATAAGATGAAAATATACTATGCTGGATAGCTTTAGTGTCAACTTGACACACCTGGGTTGAGGGAGCCTCAATCGGGGAATTGCCTCTATTAGACTGGCCTGTGGCCATGTCTGAAGGGCATCTTCTTGATGAGTGATGTGGGAGGGCCCAGCCCACTGTGGGTGGTGCCACCCCTGGGCAGGTGGGCCTGTGTTGCATAAGAAAGCAGGCTGAGCAGGAGCCAAGGGAGCAAGCCTGTAAGCAGCGTTCCTCCGTGGCCTGTGCTCCAGCTCCTGCCTCCAGGTTCCTGCCCTGAGTTCCTACCTTGGGCTCCCTGATGAACTGCATGCGACCTGGGAGATGTAAGACAAATAAACCCTTTCCTCCCCAAGTTGGTACTGGTCAGAGTGTTTTGTCACAGCAATGAAGAACAAACTAAGACATGCCCATACAAAAGCCACCAATGTTGTTTCCCTCTGTGGTGGTGGTTAATGGGGACCTACAGCTTACGGCCACTGGTCTGCACCATGCAGAGTATCAAAGAATATATCACTAGCTTGGGAAAAATCAAAATTGAGAATTCAGAGTGTAATATATACACATTACATATCCCTTACATTCCATTGTAAAGTTGAAATATTGAAAGCTAAGGCACTGTAGTTCATCTGGCATCATAGGAGAATTACAAGTGTATGCTCGAGAGCTCATGAGTGCCAACATAGGTTACCAAACAGAAGGTAGAGTTTCTACCTAATTTTGTGAAAGAAAGGCAAGAGTTCGCTTTTTTTTTACATTTTTGCAAGACCTTTTGTACAGAAGTTCATTTTAAGAAACAAATTTTAGAAACTACAGGGTTGGGGTTGCTGCTTGCTGTAGAGCGCTTATCTTCTCTGTGCCAAGTTCGGGGCTTGATCCCCAGCACTGCAAAAGACAACACTCCAGACAAACAAATAACAAACAAAACTTCACAGGGCTCAAAACCTAGAAACTAAAAAGTCAAAGAAGGGTCAGTTTAACTATACAGAAGCTTTGAACTTTAGTGTGGCACAGTATACTGAAAACCAAATTAAAAGTCAGATGACAAATTGACAAATGAGGAGAAAATAATTATAATATTTACAACAAATGTGCCAATTCAGAGGTTCAAAAATACAATTGGTCAGAAAGAGAGAGAGAGAGAGAGAGAGAGAGAGAGAGAGAGAGAGAAGAGAGGAGAGAGAGATTGGCAGAGAAGTCAAAGGGAAGAATGCAAGAAAACATGTATTCTCACTAATAATCACTGGAATTAAAATTAAAATGAGGTCTTTTCTGTAGTATCTTGGAAAAACTTTCAAAGGATTGTGAATATCTAGTTTCAGCTAAGAGTGGACCATTGATAGAAGTGCAAATTGGTGCAGCCTTTGGGGAACATTATAGACCCCTACCTGTCACTGTTAAGTACACAAACTATTTAACCCAGAGAGTTCCCTTCTGAGAAGCCTGTTCTAATAAACACACAATACTTAGGGATGTGTGTGTTGGTTCATTTGGCCAAGTTATTTGAAGCAGAAGATCAAGATGATTTATGAACTTATCAATAGGAAGATTATTATATAAATGATGGTTTAAACAAATACCTAATATTGCAAAGCTGTTAGGAAGAATAAAGGAGAGCTATGTATATAGAGGCAAAATGGAAACTCCATGCTATATTGTTAAGTCTAAACAGATATTTAGAACATTAGGTGTGCTGTGTTTTGCATTTATCTTACGAAGTACATGTTTAAGCTGGACGTGGTGATGCACACCTTTAATCCCAGCACTTGGGACGCAGAGGCAGGTGGATCTCTGTGAGATTGAGGCCAGCCTGGTCTACCCAGTGAGTTCCAGGCCACCTGTGGCTAAAAGGAGAGCCTGTCTCAAAAAGCACCCCCTCAAAAGTACATGTATGTGCATGTCTACAATAGTCATGTTTGTGTACATGCATATAAAATATGTGCTTGTGTGTGTGTGTGTGTGTGTGTGTGCTGTATCTAAAGCGCACCCTCTCAGTATCTGTGGGAGATTGGTTCTAAAACCTCCTTCAGACACCCAAATTCAGGATGTTCAGGTGACTTCTATAAAATAGCACAGTTTTGTAGACAACCCTCTCCATTACTTATACCTAAGTCAATGGAAATGCTAGGGGAATAGTCATTCCATTACAGTATTCAGGATTCACAAGAAAAAAGAAGTCTGCATATGTTCAGTATAGATATAATCTGTTTGCAATATTTTTGTGACTTCATAGCTGTGGATTCCATGAATGTGGGGGTTGATGGCATTTATATACCTATTCAGGCAAGTTGCCCTCACTTTCTGTGCCTTAGTTTCATTTGTGAAATGAGATACACACACACACACACACACACACACACACACACACACACACACATGAGCACTTGCAAGGGTAACTACTAAACGTTCCCCTACATATACCATGTAAGTATCCCCTCTCCTATCCTGGAAGCTGGGCCTGCAGGGAGCAGAAATACATTCCAGAGGCAGCCCTGGCACTGAGAGCTCCCAGGAGGGGACCTGAGAACCTTAAATCAGCTCTAAGTTTTGATTCTGATGTGCTGAGGGCCCACAGGCAGGTCACCTCACCTCTCTGGGTTCTGCTATGGGCCCAGTCCACGGCTGCAAGCCCTGAGGCTCATGGGGTCACCTCTCTTTCTGCAGGATCGTGTGTGAGATGGGAGAGGCGAAGCCCAGCCAGCACGCAGGTTTTGTGGAGATCTGTGTGGCCGTGTGTCGGCCTGAGTTTATGGCCCGCTCCTCGCAGCTCTATTACTTCATGGTGAGTCCTGATCTCCAGAGGCCTGGCTGGGTGCAGGCTACAGAAAACTCATGACCATCACTGCAGTACAGGACTCCTCATGCGTGCCATGTGTGTTCATGGGAACCCTGCCAGTACAGAGCAGGAGTGCAGCCCGTAAAGTCTGAAAGACCTAGACTCAAATCCAGACTGAGCTGTGCCTCTATGAAAGGCTTCAGTTAAGTTGCTTTGGCTCTTGGGTCCCAGTGTCCCTGTGTGGCTGAATGGCAGAGTGACCCCAGGGAATTGTGCCCAGACTCTGCCACTTACTAACTGGGAGAACTTCTGCAATCTGCTTAACTTTTCAGTTTCTTCATTTGTACAATGGGAATGATGATAGCATCTATGCAGTGGTGTGGTGGAGATCACAAAAACTCTGTGCCGTGTTATTTCCCGTGTTACTCACCCTCACTGTTATGCCCTGGTTTTTCCCTGTATACCTTTGCACCATCATGTCCAACTTGTCATCTGACTTTTCCTGCTTACCCTCTGTCATCCCGTGAGCTCTTTAGCCCCTCCATCACCTGCCCTGCACCTCATCATTTCACCCCACCTGCATACCCCGTCCATCTCCCTTACTCACATCCTGGTCCCCACCCCTGTCTTCCGTCCAGCATCTCATGCAGTCCTTACCCCGACTGCTAGTCCTCAGGGTCCCTCTAGCCTGAACCTCCAGGCCTACAAGCCTGCCTGACTCACAGCTGTGAGAGAAGGGTTGCTTTGGGAATCTCTTGGCCTGTTGCTTAAAAGGATGGTGGAGACATAGCCATGGTCCCTGCATGGTCCAGCATTTTCATGACTAGACTTTTCAGATTGATGACAGTAGAGAGGGTAGCTTCCTCAGGGTGCTGGCTGCTTTGGAAGCCAGAAGCTTGAAGTGAGGGTTTTATGCCTAGACATAAAATGCCTGGAAATGCTATCATAGAGAATTCTATTGTCCTCTCCCTCCCTCCTTCTTGCCTTCTCTCCTTCCTTCCCTCCCTCCCTTCTTCCTAGTTCTTCCTTTCCTCTTCTGCTGATAGCCATTTTTCAGTTTGCCCAGTACCTCTCACTGGATATTTTTTTGATGAAGCTTGTTTAATTAAGTTGAATGTTGTAATATAATTTGATAGTGCTGACTGAAGGGTTGCAATGTGTTAACTAAGACCTCATTCAGCTCCTCCTTAAAAGACCAAGGGTCAGGGGAGATAGAATCAACCATATTCAAGATCCAGTCTTGAAAGAGAGGAGAAAGGAGGGGGATCTCAGAGGAATGCAGGACAGATGTCCCTCCCACCTGGCCACAGCTCCTACCCACTTCCCTTTGGATACTACTGGCTGCCCCTTACAACACATGATCCTCACCAGGCTTTGAAATTGCCTGGCAACAGAGATGAAGAGAGAGGGCATTGCTGCCTGGTAAGAAGAAGCCTTGGGCATCCACAGCTAGTCAATTGGTCCGGGTTCCTCTCCTGTGCTCCTTCGCAGTGATGCTGAATGGCAGTCTTGACCTCGTGAAGTTCATGGTCCCTGGGGCCTCAACTGTCTCTGCTTACTTCTGTGACCACTTCAGAGGCCACAGCCACATGCACATCCCCCATCATATTCACACAGCTCATCTAAGCTGTAGCACCCACAAAAAGTATCCTCACCTCTTACCCATCTCTGACAGTAGCCTAATCCTCACGCCTGTGAACTTGGTGGGCTGTTGGTCAGCTTCTCTCAATTTCTGATGACACTTGGCGAGTATGTGCTGGAATCTCACTGTCCTGTTCTCTTTTCCACCACTCCGGGCTCCCGGCTCCTTTGGTCTGTCTAAGCCATCTTAACCCATCCCTCCTTGGAGATACCATTTTCATCACAGGCTACCTCAGGCTTGCTTTGCCTATAAGATGCTTTCCTAGTTCCTGGGTTAGCCAGCCACCTACTCAATCCATTTCTCCAGCTTCAGCCTTCCCTAACACCCTCACCCTGGCTGTATGGAGCCACTTTCTTCCACTTCTTTAAAGCCCTGGTCCTGTTCTATTCCTTGGCCTTCTCTGAACAGGCAGGCCTATGCTGGGAAACCCATGGACCTTGTATCCTGTCCTCCCTTGGCTTCCAAGATTTTGCCGACCCCATACTCAGTGGTCCTTTTGAATCCTGCTCCTCTACTCTAGCCAGAAAGCCTTTGGGCATGAAGCTGGGGCTTTTATTTACTTCTGTGCTAGCCTCCCTGGGAGGTGGCACTTCCAACCCAATCATACATGTACGGCTCTGCTGGGGGCCTAACATGGTGCTCTGGACCCATACCTGTCCTGACAGTGGGACACAAGTGTGAACTTGGTTAGAAAGCTTCCCAGTGAATCTGACACACAGCCTGGGCTGAGAGCTAAGAGCCTTGAAGGAACAAGGCTAGCTGAGCAGCCACCCTGTGCCTGGAGTCCTCCACTCTATTTTAGCTCTTTTAAAGACACCATGTGGCTGACCTCAGAAAATTCCCCTCCCTCCGTCCTTTCCTCCATTCCCCTTCCCTCTCTCCTTTCTCCTCCTGGTTCTTCTTCCGTCTCTCCCACTGGCAACCTTTTATCAGCTTCCCCAATACTTCCCACTCAGGGAGACCCAGTCTGGCCTACAAGAGTATATCAATCCTAGAACAGACTGTGGTTGAATCTGTGGTGTTAAGTTAAAGCTTCACAGAAGAGTCCATGGGATCTCTTCCTCAATGACCTACCTTACCTTCCTATTCAAAGGCCTCGTCTGAAGAACTGGCCTGGCGCCATACCTCTTAGGCAGAGTTTGGGGGACGAGGAATGGTGTTGGGGGCCCCAGTCCCTTCCCCTGCCCCATGTGCACTTAGGGATTGAATCTTGGAGGCTCTGGGGGTTCCTAGCAGGAATGAGGAACAGAGGTCCCTGTGAATCTCACAGGGACAAGTGAAGAGCCAGACCTTCCCTCTATCATACTTCCAAGTGTCCCTGAGCCCTTACTGCCCTTTGCTTTAGGTGGCTTGTGGGCAGGGGGTGCCTCCTCCAGAAGGCCTCTCCTGTGGGTCCTGAGAGAGCTGGGCAGTACCCCAAGCTCCTCTGGGAACTTCGCAAGCCCTGGGGTACCCTGGGAGCCCTTTCCCATTTTCAAGGCTGGGGGCCGGGCGTGATATCTGAGTTCAGTGGACGTCTTCCAGGTTCTTGTGTCCTAGTTGGATAGACACTTGTTTAGCTGCAGAAGCAGGAACAGTTTACTAGAAAAAGGTACACTTCCAAGGGCAGAAGTGGGCTGGATCAGGGAGAAAGTTTAGAAGACCAACCAGAGCCTGCTCTGTAAAGGATGGGGCTTTGGGGTCATTTGCATAGCACCTGCAAATCATACATGCTGTTAAGCTGTTATTCTCCATGCGGCTTCGTATATCCCATGTCTCGGCAACTTTAATTTCCAAGGGGTGGAGGTTAGTATTATAATGAGCCACAGGTCACCTTCAGACACTGGAAAGCCTCTTTGCCTGTATGAGTGGCTCCAGCAGGTTCCATTTCCCCCTTTGTGGAGTTTCCAGCCTTCCTCGTCACCAGCAGGTTTTTCTTCTATCTATACTAATTTTTGTGTAAAGCCTTCCAGACCTCACTCTCCACTGTGCTCTCTTCCTTCCAGGGAAGACCCAGGTCTCCCTTGGTTTCCCTCCACAAATCAAACTAGGCCCAGCTGTGTGCTTTATTCACCCAAATGTCAAAGCTACAAAAGGCCAGGAGCAGAACTCTGGGCCTTGTCCCCGGCTCTGTCCCAGGAGGTCCCCCTGCCGGGAACGCTTCTCCATCCTCTACCTTTCTTCATCTGTTCGCTCACAGAGCCAAGTGAGGAGCTGGCAAATAAAGCATACTTTGATTTTCCCCGTGCAAACCCACCGTGAAATATTTATGAAGCACGGCTTGAATAATTAATAATTTCTCACAAGTCCAAAACATGTTTCCATAACACCCTCTCCCCAGCCCGAGCAGTCCCCCTCTAGTCAGTCCCTGAGCAGCAGCGCCATGCAACGTGGCCTGCGGTATCCACACCACTGGCTTGTCCTTCCCAGGGCTGGACTCCAGATCTTCCTTATAGCCGGTGAGCACAGACAGACCAGTGGACAGACTGTCTTTCCCTCTCTTCTTTCTGAGGAGATCAGTCAGACAAAGTGACCCTATGGAAATATACAAACTACTACAAGTTACAGAACAAGAAAATTGCCATGGGTCTTGGAAATAACCACGTTGGGGCCCAAATTCCATTATTATGTGACCAGAGAGGTGGAAGATCTTGTCTCGAGCCACACAGCATGATTACCACAGGCCCTTATCCTTGGCTGTCCAGTTACAGAGCCAAGATTTCAAACCTACCTGAGGAACATTGGGGCCAAGGTCAGCAGGTGTATGTTACCCGTGAGCCTTGCACTAGGACCTGGGGACTAGGGCTCCTGAAGGAAGCCTCATTAGGGAGGGTACCAGGCCTCAGGAATGAACCTGAGCAGGTTCAGCTTCTACACTGAGTTCTTTCAGGGCCTGGTGGCTGGGGAAGGGAGGGAGAAATCTTCATTTAAATGCAGATACAGACTTCTCACCTGGGACTGGGGAAAGTTTTTCCATTAAAATGCTAATGAAAGAACAAACTGCAACTCCAAATCCCCAGCTATCTAGGGCTTTCCTCCCTGCCTCCACTCCAGCCACTCCTCACCTCCAGTCCTGCCAGGGGTACCGCACAGGCCTTGAAAGCTTCCTTGTATGCATGCCTCATACATCCTGCACTCCAGACGCTGGAGAGTTCTCTGAGGAGACCCGTGGGAAGGGCAAGTCACCTTCCCCAAAGCCAGGAGACTGCCTACTGGAGAAATGGATGGTGTGCATCTACACTGGGAACTGGAGATCTGAAGTCAGGTCTCAATTATGGTACTTCTTAGCTGTGTGACCTTGGAGAATCTAGTTAACATCTCTGAATCTTATCTGTGAAATAATAGCTACTTTTTAAAACTGACTGAATATATATATATTATATATATATATATATCTCACTATAGTTAAAGCCCTGACCCTTACATTACATATATTTTTTACAGAGCCACTATCATGACTGCTATTATTCATATAGAGATGCAAGTGCTCTGGGTCCCCAACAGTGCCTATTCACACAAGAATAAAACAAACAAACACAAACAACAATAAAAACCGGGAGACAGTGGAGGCAACCATGAGTCTGGACAATGGAGAATTGCCTCAGGCCTGCCCCAGCCTCCTCCACCATCCCAGCATGTCTCAGTCCTCTTCTTTTCTACACAGACCCTGACTCTCTCAGACCTGAAGCCCAGCCGGGGACCCATGTCTGGGGGCACACAGGTCACTATCACAGGCACCAACCTGAATGCAGGCAGCGATGTGATGGTGATGTTCGGGAGCCAGCCTTGCCTCTTCCATAGGTAACCCCTGGACCCAAGGGAGGGCAGACAGATAAATTACTTGGGAAGGGGACTTGGGGTTTTATAGAGGTGGGCAAGGATTGCCCTTTCCCCGGGTGAGTCCCTTTCAGACTGGCATTCTTCTTCTCTTTGAGAGAAGACAACAAAAGGTGAAAGTTAGCCCTCTTCCCCTGTGAATGGGGGTGAGGGGTATCATGCCATTGCCCACAATTCAGCCTGGTGTCCCAATATGTGCCCTCTGCCAAGGATGGAGAAACCACCGAGGATTCAGCTCAGAATCTGCAGCTAGAGCCTGTTAAGGAGGGGAGAGCCTCTCCTGCTTCTAGCTGCTTGGGCCTACCCAAGATGATCTGAGCAGGTGATCCCAACTGACCTAGCCTGAGGCTCGAAGTTCAGGAAGCTTCCTTCCCTCTGCCCAGAGGGTTTCACCTTCTCCAATTAAGAGCCTGGGGTAGGAGCTGCAGGGACACATCCAAGGAATGTTCTGGAAAATGTGACTGGCCTGAGTGAGGGTCTCTGAAGGAGGGATTCCTAGAGGGGGCTTTGATAAGAACTTGGGCAGATTCCAGCTCAGACCGGGCAGAGCAATGTATTATGTCAGAGAAGCAATTATTCAGAAACTTTAGGAAATGGTGAGGATGCCTTTGTTCAAAATGGTTTATACTATCACAAGAGTAAAAGGAGGCAGAGATCAACTTTAGGCATAGCAGGACCAGCTATAGGCTTACTGCCAGCCCCAGACTTAGGGGTCAGGAGAGTCACAGGGAGGAGATGGCAAGGGCGTGGTTCTTGCTGAACTCACTTATAAGATTCTCATTTTCAGGCAAACCAAGGATCAGAAATTAAGGGAGGATTCTCATCGGACTGATATAGCTAGATCCTTGCTAAAAATGGGGCTGGATTAGGGACAAAGACAATCTAAGAGATAAGACCTCTTTGAAAAAGTGGACCCAGAGATGCTTTTTGAAAGCTTGATCCCTATCCTTGCTTCTTGAGCTTTCCATCTATGTCAGCACCCACCCCTTGCCCCTGCGGAACCTGAAGTACAGGGAAAGGGGTTGACCTGGGACTACCCCCATCCTCGGCACCCAGGAGCCCAGTGCTCTGCCTTCCCTTCTAGGCGATCTCCATCCTACATCGTCTGCAACACCACATCCTCAGACGAGGTGCTGGACATGAAGGTGACTGTGCAGGTGGACAGGGCCAGGATTCGCCAGGACCTGGTCTTTCAGTATGTGGAGGACCCCACTATTGTGCGTATCGAGCCAGAGTGGAGCATTGTCAGGTAGGAGGACCTCTAACCCCTTCCTGCTTCTGGACCTCAGTTTCTCTTTCCCAGCTCTCAAAAACCAAGGATAAGTCAAGTTTAGTGCCATAGGCCTTTAAGTCCAGCTGCTTGGGAGGCTGAGGCAGGAGTATCAAAAAGTACAAGATCTGGGACAGAGATGACTTTGTGAGTCGGAGCACTTGCTGAGCAAGCATGAGGACCCTGAGTTCAGAACTCAGCACCCATGAAAAAAGTTAGAAGTGGCTGCACACATTGTAACCCCAGGGCTAGGGGCTGGTCAGAGACAGTGGGATCACATTGGTTCAGTGAGAGAGCTTGCTTCAAAAAAATAAGGCAGAAAGTGATAGAGCAGGACACCTGACATCCTCCTCTGGCCTCTACACAAGCATGCTCATACACGTGTGCACAGCATGCACACACATACAACACAGAATTCAATATCTGCCTACATTACTGAGTTAGTTGAAGGCCAGCCTGAGCAGTTTAGCAAGAAGCTTGCTAAAGTAAACAAAATTAAAAGTTAAAAGAGGGATAGGATGTAGTCTAGTGGTGGAGTGCTTGCCTAGCATGGGCAAGGCCCCTGGGTTTCATCCCCAGTACTGAAAAAAGAAAAAAAAATTAATAAAGCCAGAAGAGTTTTGGGGACTCAATCCTTCTTGGAAGACAGATGAACTGGGGTTAGTTCCCAATACCCTCTAGTAAGAGGACCTTCAGATAGTGGCTGCCTTCTTTCACGGAAGTAGCTCCACACAGGATCCAGCCTGTAAGCTGAGGTCTGACCAGCTACGACACACTTTCCCACTGTTGAAACTGGTGAGTGGACTTGGAAATAATCCTCATCCGGGAGTGACTGTAGGGATGCCAGTGTACCCCTGATGCCTCACCTCTGGCAAATATGGCCAGTAGTTCTGGTCCTGACTTGGGCTGAGGGACTTGGGAGGAGAGAGAGATCAGAGCTAGTCTCTTCCAGGCTTCTCTGAAGTCCAGTCTGCATCTGTCCTCTGCTTCTGGACCTCTTCGCAGCCCTTTCATAGTCTGCCCTGTTGCCTGCTTGCCTTTGTCCCTCTCTGTACTGCAGACTTGTCCAGGGAAAAACCTGCTCTTTGTTCCTTGCTGTTTCCTTAGTGTCTGACAGGAATGCACGAAGGGAATATTTCAGGAGGAAGCAGGTACTTGATGGTGCTATCAGAAGAACCAGGAAGGGTGTCTGACCCTTCAGCAGTTTGCCTGGGGCAAGACACTTACTTCTCCTGGGCCTCTATCTTTTGGGAGATTCCCCTGGTGACTGAGACACTTGGGGACCTGTAGGGTCACTGGAATGTAGCACCTCCCATTAGAGGCTGAACTGCAGGTCGCTGCCTGTACCTGCTTTTCCAAGCTCTGAGGACACATCGGGATGAGAGGACTCCACAGAGGATGACTTTTCTGTGAGAGCCACTTGATAGCACCAGGAAGCTGCTGTTCTGGGGTACATTGGGAACACAGTGAGGGCTTGTGGTGGGAAAGCACAGGCTCAGTTCAGCCTGCTGCTTAGTAGACCAGCAACCTTAACAGCCACTTATTCTCCTTTTACCTGTCATTTGCTCAATGCTCAGTGCTCCCTATAGTCAGCTCCAGCTGTGAGGGAACCTGGGACTGGGGGAGTTAGTGGGGACAAAATGAAGAAGTGCTCGGCACAAGCCGGGCAGGGACAAGCCCAGTTTAGGGAGTACTCCTTAAGCCAGGGACTCCAGGACCATATCTGACTGGCAGCCTGCATTTTTGTAAATAAAATTTTTAATAATTTGGCTTTTGTTTTGAGACAGGGTCTCACTTATGTAGCCCTGGATAGCCTGGAACTCACTATGTAGATCAGGCTGGCCTCGAATTTATAGAAATCTGCCTGCCTGTTCCTCCCAAGTGCTGGAATTAAAGAAAGACATTCGCTAACACGCCCTGGTATAAATAAAGTTTTATTGGCACACTGTTCTGCTCCCTGTCTGTATTGTCTACAGCTACTTTCTCACCACAGCAGAGTTGATGAATTGCAACAGGGACCATATGGCCTATGGAGCCTGAAATATTTACTGTCTGGCCCTTCACAGGAAGAGTTGGCCACCTTCTGCATGAAGCCCAAAGAGAAGCAGCTTGGCTGCTAGGATGAAAAGTGTCCATCGGCTGTCCTCCACTAAGGCATGAAGGGGGAAACAGCCTGTCAAAGCCATGCCAGGCCTTGGCCTGAGAGCCTGGTGATTCAGGAAGGTGATACAATGCCTTTGTGTCTCACTCAAGAAGCAGTGATACTCTGAGGCATTCACAGCCTGGTTTAGTTCATTCATTCCTCATCTTGTCCCCGGTGTTGTCTTCTTGGCAGAGTCCCCAAGTCATGTTCATATTGTAAGGGAGGCTGGACACATGTTCTGGAATGCCAGTACTTTTGCTTAGGTTAAGAAAATCTAAAGATAAGGTGGGCTCTGCACTGTGTGTGGCTCTGAGCCTCCCATAAAGGCCTGGCTTGTTTGGGGACAATGATGGAGCCATTTGTGGAATGACTGAGAAGGCTGGAGGAAAGGCTGGATACCAGAAGCTCATCTGAACTGTCATGTGTATGGAAGAGCCTCTCTGGGCATTGCAGAACTCTTACAGGCATACACAGATATAGATGTGTATATAAAGTGATTGCAGAACACTCAAGGAAAAAGGGAAGGAAGTAACTGAACTTTAAAGATGGGCAGGTAGATAGTGGGTAGAAACCGATGTGAGGACAGGAGCAAAAGTTCTTAGCCACGAAGTTTAGAAGTAATTAACCTACATAATCCTGCTTTAGATAGCAGAGTTTTTGTTGGAGATACCGCTTTGACTGGCAATTAGGGCACTTCTCCCTCTCCTTTGAGTAGCCCAAGGAGGACATGGCCACGTATAGAGCTTCCTACCATCCCCACCAGCTTCTCAGCCTCCCTGGGTGTAGGGTATGGCATCCTTTGAAAGGCCACTCCAAAGTGAATCACCCGAGTCCTCTCCATCCACATCGGTGTCCCAAGCTTCTCCAGGGTACAGGAGACTCATGTCACTCCTATGCTCCCGGAAAAGGTGTCTGGTTACCTGGGCCATGGTTCACAGGTCTCAGCCAGACTGAAGCCACCAATGAGGAAATTTGCAGCAGGATTGCCATGGGAAACAGATTGTGCTTGGTGGCTGAGGGCTCTGTTAGGGACCATTACTTTAGACCAATACCAAGGATGAGGACTAGGGTGGAGCCTCAAGAGAAGTCTCTGGCTCCTTTGGGTCTCGGGGACTTGGAGAGCCAATGGACCGTGCTATCAGTGAAGGGTACCATGGATGCATCACTTTCCTCCCTCTAGGCTTGAGATGTGTATCCTTGCTATCACAGTCAGCTCTTCCTCCTGGTCCCCCAGATCATCATTGTGCTTCCTTGCCCTCATGTCACAGGTCATCTTGATGACCACTGTTGTCATGGCCAGTGTCCTTGTATCTCCCATGCCTGTGATTCATACTCCTTTCTTTCTTCTTGGGCAGTGGGAACACACCCATCGCTGTCTGGGGAACTCACCTGGACCTCATACAGAATCCCCAGATCCGTGCCAAGCATGGAGGGAAGGAGCACATCAATGTGAGTCTGCCTGTCAGTGCCCAGGGGCTGCCCACCTGACATGTTTAGTTCCCAAAGGGAACCTGCTTCCTAAGCACTACATACATATGATGACCCAACACCAGTCACCTCTGAGACCTGGGAAAGTGGGCTAGGGGAACAGACATGACAGCATTTTCAACTGTTTGACTCCAGACCTTGAAGAAACAATTGCTTCCACAGTTTCTGGGGAACCTTGCTATTCCTGCCCAGCTTGGAAAACACCTAGTTTTGCCACATCCACATTGGGCAAAGCCAGAGATAGGTGACAGTCACAGGGTGGAACCTGTAAGTGCTCGAGTGTGTGATCCTGGCTCCCTCCTTCATAATCCACCTGTATCAACTCTATGCACTGGAAGTCCTGGGGTGGAGATATTCCTCATTGTTCCCTCTCTGGCTATTCCCACAGATCTGCGAGGTTCTTAATGCTACCGAGATGACCTGCCAAGCTCCAGCCCTTGCCCTGGATCCTGACCACCAGTCGGACCTCACCGAAAGGCCTGAAGAGTTTGGTTTTATCTTGGACAATGTCCAGTCCCTGTTAATTCTCAACAAGACTAACTTCACCTACTATCCCAACCCTGTGTTTGAGGCCTTCAGTCCCTCAGGAATCCTGGAGCTCAAGCCTGGCACTCCTATCATCCTAAAGGTAGAAGGAGAGCACAGGGAGAAAGGATGTTCTCAAGTGGATGGGAAGAGTGTCCAGTTACAGAAAAAGGGTGGGAGTCAATGGAAGTCACAAACTCCTGCTAAATTTCATGACTTACATCTCTTGCAGAGGGTATGGTATAGCTCAGAACTCCTGTTATAGACCTGATCCACTCCGGGCAGACAGATCTACTTAGGCCACTAGACTCCCAATCTTTTGTCCTTAGAGTCCAGAAACTGACAGTCACAGGCTTGTTGCAAACCACGGTTTAGGTTTTCTTTGGACCATGGCTCACAAGTTAATTGTAACTCATGTGACAGTTTGAATCAGCTGGTAGCTGCTGACTGCAACTGTACGCCAGAAGGATACTGAGGGAAGGCTGCATTCTAGATAAGCTTTTCAGAGCACTTTATTGATTTCTTACTGGGAGGAAGAGAAGATGCTAGTATATGTGCTATACTTGTCTGTTTTCTGTTACTGTCATGAAATACTTGATGCTGAGTACTTCCAAAGAAAGAAGTTGAATTAACTTACCATTCTGGAGAGTAAGAGACCAAACAGCAAAGTCTTGGATCTTATGAGGGTATCCTTGTGGGAGTACATGTGAGAAGGAATGATTATGGGGTGATACAGGAAGCCAGAGGGCAAGGAGAATATAGTCACGACCTTCTAACACATCCCCTCTGGGGATGAAACAACATCTAACCTATAGCATGTGCCATAGGTTCTTGGAACTTACTGCTGATGGTGGCCTCTTTCCCAATTCATCCATAGGATGGGATGTCAGATAGGAGGCCATAGAAATCACCATCAGCTGTGGTCCTGACTCAGGGGTGGGGATGGGGGCTTTCCTGTCTGCCCAGGGCAAGAACCTGATCCCACCAGTGGCTGGAGGCAATGTAAAGCTGAACTATACTGTGCTGGTTGGGGAGAAGCCATGTACTGTGACTGTGTCGGATGTGCAGCTGCTCTGCGAGTCTCCCAACCTCATTGGCAGGCACAAAGTGATGGTAAGGCTGGTGGGACCCCATCATGGATTGAGCAAGTGTGAGAGATGCTGGGTGCAAGTGGCCCAGCTGTTTATGGGCTACTGGGGCATTTTAGGAAAGCTTCCAGCCCACAATGAGCGTTCCTCCAAGCTTTCCACAGCCCTGTTTGCATCTTCCCACCTCACTAACCTGCTACACACAATACACTGTGTGTGAATTGTTGCTCTCTCTATCTTGGCTGGTATAGCAACAAGACAGTGTAAAACATTTAATGGACCAATAAATTGTCTACTAAGGGACAAGAGAGCCTTTAAGAAAAGGATCATCAATGGTCTAGGAAGGCCTATGATGTCCCATCTGTGTCTTGGTCTCCCATGATGATGGTAGGATGAGTCTTGGGGAAGCCAGTCATTGGTGTTATATCACTTTATTTAGACCCCAGTGGTGAGCTGCATTCTTGTGGTGACAATGTTGTCCTGAGTGATAGATGGGGCACGTTTTCCTGTTGAGAGGTGACTTCTGCTGTCTAGTCCTTCTCCTATCCCCATACGCCCTCTCTTCTATTTTCTCCACCCGTTGGGGCTCCTCCCTGGCAGCCACAACCTCATCCTGACTCAGAGCTCTTCTCCAGTCCACCATCCCTCTCTCCCTTGTGTCCCCAGGCTCGTGTGGGTGGCATGGAGTACTCCCCAGGGATGGTGTACATTGCCCCAGACAGCCCGCTCAGCTTGCCTGCCATCGTCAGCATCGCAGTGGCAGGTGGCCTCCTCATCATCTTCATCGTGGCTGTGCTCATTGCTTACAAACGCAAGTCCCGAGAGAGTGACCTCACGCTGAAGCGGCTGCAGATGCAGATGGACAACCTGGAGTCCCGTGTGGCCCTGGAGTGCAAGGAAGGTACTGAGTGCCCATGTGCTGGTGCTAGTGCTGGAGGCTGTGTGCGTGTGTGTGTGTGTGTGTGTGTGTGTGTGTGTGTGCATATCATACAAAAGCAAGCAGGCTGGGCAGCAGTGGGTAACACTAGAGGTTGTATGTGTGCATGTAATAACATGTGAGTCAGGGCATGTGTATATGTGCACAAATGTAGCTGCTGCCTCTCATACAACAGCAACTAGCCTGGGCAGCATTTGACAGTAATGAAGATCATAATATGTATATGTGCACTTGTGTATGTGTATGCATGTGCCAATAGGCCAGGCTACAGTGAGTGGTAGTTATGTGTGCTATGAGCATATCTGCATGTGTATAAGTGTGTGTGTGTGTTCTGTGTGTGTGTGTCTGTGTGTGTGCGTGTGTCTGTGTGTGTATCTGTGTGTGTGTGTCTGTGTCTGTGTGTGTCTATGTCTGTGTATGTCTGTGTGTCTGTGTGTGTGTCTGTGTGTCTGTGTGTGTGTGTGTGTGTGTGTGTGGGTGTGTGTGTGTGGAGGTGTGTGTGTGTGTGTGTCCTAGTCATAGGTCCAGCCATCTGGCCTACAGCAGATGGTCTTGAAGGTGGAGTGTCCTACTTACAAAGCCTTCCTGCCAGTCTGGCCTAGCCAAGGTCCCAGACCAAAGCCCCATTTAGCAGTCCCACCTTGTGGCTTCCTCCTTATTCCTTCCAGGTGTCTTGCCAGGATCATTTACACCCCAAGAGCAGTCTCTAGGTTCAGAACCCTTGCTGGATGGGTCTCACATCTCCTTCCAGGGAGATCTGGGGTTGTCTTGGCATAGCACATACAAGCAATCCTTAGCTCCCTCCCTGCTGAAGGAAGGGAAGGCTGTGGGGTTGATCTGTGATTCTGAAAGAAGAGTGTTTCATAGCTTGTATTTGAAAAATTTACAAACGCCACCATGAAGTGAGATCAGCTGTATTAAACCCAAGAAGGCAGCTTAGCAGGCAGACTTTTGTAACCTCAGGACATCCTTATGTGAGTCACCCTGGGAGGGAGTTGCTGAGCAGTTTCTCTGTGGGTGATGTGTACCTAGAGTTAATCCAGCCCTGTACTTGGGCTCCTGCATCATGCAGGTTCCCATCGGGGAAGCCCAGCCACTTTTGATGGGGATGAGGCTCCATTCCATCCCCTCTCCACATCCTTCAGCTGTCATCTCGGCATCCGCCTTGTGGGACTGTTAATTACTGCCTTTTATTATATTTACACTGCTTAATTTTTTTCTCTGCAATGTACTCTTCTGTCTAATTAGGTGTAGTGATTAGAATCTCTTTTATGTGTGGCAGGCACGAGGCTTTGAATGTTGGAGGTGCTTGATGACTTAAAGAAAACTGCAGACCCATCAAAAGCTAGATCCTCTTTCTCCTCCTGGCCAGTTAAGCACCCTAACCAGGAGAAGACAGATCAAGAGAGGTTGACACCAGGCCTCTCTAGAAGTATCAGGAAGAGACAGGCTCAGAAGGCAGACAGGAGTCTAGCCTAGGAGCACATGGAATTCTGTGGGGAACTGTGGCTTCTGGGTGGGAGACAGTCACACTGCAGGGGTTTTGAAAAGAAGGTGGCTCTCTAGTAGGATTGACCACTGAGGCACCTTCCAGGGTGTTTGCAGGGAAGCATGGACCCAGGGCAGGTCTTCCTGGAGATTTCACTGTCAGCCAGGGTACCACTCATACCCACACTCAGAGGATGCCAGCCCTGCCCTACACAGACCTGAGCTTTGGATATAGAAGCATACACATGTGTAAGCTTTCTTACACATATACACATCCCCATTCTGTGTACTTGCTGGCATGCTTGCACATTCTCATACTTATTAAAACAAGCACACACTCACTCAGGCACCCCACTCCTGTTCATGTGCACATTTCCACCTGCTGACACAAACACAGCTTCATGCTCTTTACTCCTGATGCACACTGCTGGGTTACTCAGTTTATATCACTGTGGCCAAAAAAACTGGCAGAAACAACTTAAAATATGAAAGATTTCTTTTGCTTATGGTTTCAGGGGTTCCATCCACTACAGTGGGGAGGGTATGGTAGAGTACAGCTGTTTACCTGACAGCTGTCAGAAAGCAGAGGAGAGCAGAAACAGGAGGAGATCAGGGCAACATATAATCTTAAGGACAGTCCCCACTCCCAGTGACCTCCTTCCTCCAATCAGGCCCCACCTTCCAAAGATCCACTCCCTCTTAACAACTCTTTCATATTATGAAACTATTAAGGGATGAATCAATCCATTGATAATTATAATCTAATTGTCTCTGGAAAGGTCCTTATAGACATGCCCAGTGATACACTTCACTGATCCCCCAGGTACTTCTCAATCCATTCAAGCTGGCAATTAAGATCAACTATCACAATAAGTGTTTGTCAGGCATTGGTGACAGTGAATGCCAAAGAGACCTCTGGACTTCATTTGCACACACAGTTGCTCACATACATTGGAGTCTGTTCTACTTGGCCACATTAGGGCTTCTGTCTCTAGAGTCACTGTATGACAAAGAACCCCAGGCTCCATGTGACAGGACAGAAGGGGGAGCAGTGCAGGAGGAAGGGAGCACCAGGAGGTGCTGTGGGAGGAAGGGAGCACCGGGAGGTACTGCAGGTCTGCCAGTGCTCAGCCTAGTCCCCCATCCTCTCCAGAAAGCCTTGGGGCTCTCCTGGAACCAAAACCCGTGGGAACCCACAAACCTCAAGTCAGCTCTGTGGGGGAGGAACTCTATCAAAGTCACCAGGAAGGACAGGGTGAGACCAGAGTACTTACATAATGTTCATGTGTCATCTTAGCCCACTGTGCACTGGGCTTGCTCTTTGATGTCCCTAGAGCCACTTTGGGCCTGTGAATCCCTTCTGAACTTACCAAGTGTTTTGTTTTTTTTTTCCCCCCCATTCGTAAGTGTATATCAATGGAAAGAAATATTGGTTAGGCAACACCCACTGTCTGTTCTTCCTTGCTAATGTGTGTTAATACATCCTGTTCATGTATGTACATGTGTTTGCATGCATGTGTACATGTATATGTGTGTGTGTGTGTGTGTGTATGTGTGTGTGTGTACCAAGGAGAATGGCACAGGACTGGCAGCTGTGCCTCTGAATACCTCCAGTGGCAGAGGGGGCCATGTGCCCAGGATGGGGTATGATAGCTGTGACTCTCAGATGTACTACATGCTAGATTTTCCCAGGGGCCAGCTAGGGTCTTGTGGCTTTGTCCATCTGGGGCCTTGAGGTGCCCTTTTGGGGAACAGTGCTCATATGAAGATTGTAATTTGCCACCAGATAACATCACCTTGAGGTAGGCAGGACAAAGATACTCCCTGCATATCTGTGCAGAAGGAACAGATTGGAATAATAGTCCCTCTGTCCAACCCCCTTTTGGTCTCTGAAAGCTACACAGTTTAGAAATGGATGTTCAAACCCCTTTCCTTTACTGGAAGAAATTGTTCTTAACGTTCATAAAGAAACCCAGTTCAAGGGGAAACACTAGGCATAGACTCACTGCACCCTTTTGTATTTCTCTTCTTCGGCACATTCTTCAAATCAGATTCTTTCCCCTTATGACCCCAATAACATCACAGGTCTTGAGACAGCCTCACCACCTCTCTGCCATTTGAAAGACATGAGTCTCCAAACCATTTTTCTCCCATGCTAATGTAGAATCCATCCCTACTGTCCCTCTACTCCCATAGGCCTGGGTGAGGGTTTTGAATACTCCTGGAGGGATATTTCCTAAGCCTACCTTATAAGGCATCCTTGGGGGTTTCTCTGTTGTTGTTCTTCATACTTTATCCACCTTGTTTTTGAGACAAGTTCTCCCATTGGCCTGCAGCTTGTCAAGTAAGGTAGGCTGGCTGGTCAGTGAGCACTGCCATCCTCCTTTGCCACCTCCAGAACTCTGGGATTATAAGCATGCATAGCTTTCTTCACATGGGTTCCAGGGATCAAACTCATGTCTTCATGCTTGCAAGACAAGAACTTTACCAACTGAGCCATTATTCCAGGCTTCACAGGCTTCTTTTTGTTCCAGCTTTTGCTGAGCTGCAGACAGACATCCATGAGTTGACCAGTGACCTGGATGGAGCTGGGATTCCCTTTCTTGACTACAGAACCTACACTATGAGAGTGCTGTTCCCAGGGATTGAAGACCACCCTGTGCTCCGGGACCTTGAGGTAAGAAGTGATGCCCCCGCCTTGCTGATGTTAGAATAGGGGAATGTGCTAGTAGTCAGCAAGCTCAGCCCTTTCATTTGGAGGGGAGAAAGCTGGGGCTGGGGGTAGAGCACATCTTGCTCAAGATGACCTAGCTTAGGGACCCAAGCCAGTCTCTCTGCAGGAGGTGGGGCCAAGCCAGGGAGCTTTATAGCATACTTCAGGATCTTGGGAAGTATGGAACCCTTTGGGAATTGAATGGATAGAGAGGACCCTGTTCCCAGAAAAACTATGCATGTTTCCACAACCAAACACTATAGCATGTAAATGTAGGCAGTTTGTGGGCTCTGGTTTAGTAAACCACAGTATAAAGGATTTTACTACTTAGTTGGTGCTCAATAAATGTATAAGGGTATTTATCAGTTGATGCTTCCTTGGGAAAGACAAATGACACACAGGGAAGGAAGGAGAAAATGTGAATGATAAAATCCCCACTGTCTTCCTGCCAGCAGGGACCCCATCTTCTGAACGCTTTATCCCACTTACTGTCTAGCATGGTATCTGGCTTATGCATATATTCATGTTACACTTTGTTCTGAAAGGGCTTTGGAATGACTTATCAAAATAAATACCAGAGAAAGATGAAAAATAATAAACGAGGAAAGCAGACAAAATAAAAATCCTGAAGGATGATCACTAGATGTTTCTGGTCATTAAAATCTCTGATCAACTTTAAACACTTAATGTGCATTCAACCATTGGCCTTCCCAGGAGTCCTCTGAGTAGGTGAGACCATTTTACAGGTGAGAAAAGAGAGAAGCCTAGTAAAAGACCGGGACATTCAGCTGCTGGGGACAGAGCCAAGAACTGAGTCGAGGCGGTCAGACTCCAGTGTTTCTAATCCCAGCTGCAAGCTGTGTACCAGACCGTCAGTGCCCTTCAGCTGTGCCTACTTATCAGGACAGAATAGAATGTACATCTGGAATCTGTGCAATAAAACAGACCCTTTTTTCAGTTGCTACTCGGTGTTGCAGATACTGATATTGGAGGGAGTGTCCACATGGGGTCTCCTTGGGTGCAGCAGGCTATGCACCATGCCAGCACACACTGCTTGCCACAGACACACTTAGGGCACCCATGTCCCTCCAGGCTTGCTTGCTGAACGCTGCAGGTATCTGTGCATGTATGTGTATTTCCTATTCTGAGAACTCGGGTGTTTCTCTCTGAGGAAGGCTCTCCTTCACCCACCGGCTGACAGACACTGTGAGGCACTTTCAGAGACTGTAGCCGAGGGACTCACATCCTCACTGGCCGTGCACCTTTTCTACAGATATGTGTGTGCGTGGATTTAGGCATGCTCCATATACAGACATGAAGCCACTAGGTGTTTCAGGACACTCTGTCCAGCCACTGCCTTAATCAAATTCTTTGTCTTTGCGCCTCCCTCTTCCTACTCTTTTCCTTGCCTTTCATCTCTCCTCAGCCTCACTTTAATTTACATAGAACACAAGGCTTCTTGGAACACTGAAGAGCATGTGAATTCCCGGTTAAGGGGGAAAGTGATGGTGGTGAGCAGATAGATCTCTGTGTATGTGTATCACCGATGTGTGGACCGAGTGCTTCCCTTATTCACTGTTCTCATTTTAACTTCCTGCAGGGCAGGGGCCCTGGCATAAAGCAGCAGTGTAGGAAACACAGTGAGCAAGTGAAAGAATGAATGTCTGTCTGGGCTGGAGTGGAAACAGCAATCCTAGCAAGGACCATGATGCCCCATCTGTGGGCACCATAGACAATAATCTAACCATTGACCTTAGCATGTGCATATATAGTTATTTTCCTTAGTTCACTAATTTAAAATTTCATGTCAATGTAAATTGCTTTTAAGAATATAACTTTTAATCAGACCCAGGATCAATGTGTCCTTGTATTACCCTGGGGCTGTGTGAGACCCATGGATCTTATATAGATGATTTTTTTGTTGGTTTCTAACCCATCATTGCCACAGAAAATTTCTCCCTCTTGGTGTTCTTAGTGTGGAGACATCCCATTAGTGAAAGCCATGTTTCCCAACCTTTCAGCCCCTAGGATACCTGCCCATAGGCAGAAAATGGGAAGGGGGATTGTCTTGATCTGTTGGCCACCAGGTTTCATAGGGTAAGTGGACACATTTGGGGAAGGGGCTTTCCTGGCCCCAGTCACACACCAGTGCTTTAAAAACACAGAGCTATCAATCATACACTCCCAATTTTGACCCATCACTGACTCCTAAATTGTAGCCTACTGAGTTACAATTAAAATTTCCATCCAATTTTATATGCACAGACTTCAACTAAAGTGGAAAACCATTTGGTGAATAAAGAATGTTCATGGTCCGGCTTGGAGATTCTGCCTTGGGGTGCTAGAAATGCTCCTACCCTCATGGGGTCCCAGAGGCCCTAACAGAACCTGTACCCTAGAGTGTTGTGTGGATTAAATGGGCCACTATTTCCAAAGCAGTCCAAACAGTACTTGGCATAGAATAAGAGCCATATGTATATTAGCTTTTATTAACTGCATTTTGCTGATGAAGAAATTGTCAACTACTAAATGACAGTGATAGAATGCATCCCAAGCTTGACAGACTCTGGAACCATGTTCTTGACCATGGCCTACAGTACAACAGTCCTTCTCAAAGACCTGATACATCCATCTCCCTACCACAGAGGTTGCAACACAGCCCTCAGGATGTGGCTTCCAGAACACATCTGCTGGGTGTCCCTTCTACCCTCCTCCCATACCTTCAGAACTGCACTCTAGGGCACAAACCTTACTCATTGTTCCAAAAGGGCTCCCAGGAGGGCGGAGCCTGTGGCTGTCTCTAAATTGGAGGTACCGACTCACCTCTTGGCTAAGCAAATGTTGGGCACTGTGGCCTGCATAGGAAGGCCTTGGCAGCATCATCCAGGTGGCCCATAGGTACAACAGAGGTGGGGAGGAAACATTGATGATGGGTACAGGCTATTTTGTGGGGAGGTCAATTGGGCACCCAAAAGCTCATGTTAGGACCCTGAATCACTCCACAGGTCCCAGGCTACCGGCAGGAGCGTGTAGAGAAAGGCCTGAAGCTCTTCGCCCAGCTCATCAACAACAAGGTGTTCCTGTTGTCCTTCATCCGCACACTAGAGTCCCAACGCAGCTTCTCCATGCGTGACCGAGGTAATGTGGCCTCACTCATCATGACCGTGCTTCAGAGCAAGCTAGAGTACGCCACAGATGTGCTTAAGCAGCTGCTGGCTGACCTCATCGACAAGAACCTGGAAAGCAAGAACCACCCCAAGCTGTTACTCAGGAGGTAAGAGAGGTCTACAGTGGCCTGCAGGGGCCAGAGTACCCCCTACCCAGCCCAGTTCCACAATCTGGCTCACAGATCCTTCTATGCAGACCAGACAGCCTGCTAGGAGATCAGCCATGCTTTCTAGCCAGAGAGGCCTTGATCTGCAAGAGGCCAGTCCTACCATCATAAGGGTGTCTAAAACACAGTTCACCCTGTATCTGTTTTCCACTTGCCCCTGCTCTTCCACTCCCGGGATTGTGCAGCTTTCCACTAGAATTATTTCTCTGAGATCAGTTAGGCCATGCCTGGGCTCATCTAGGTTAAGAAATAGGAGAGGGCTTCAGGCTGCCCGTGGACCAGTAACAGGCACAGCATGTAGGAGACTGTTAAAAATGCAGCCACTCAGGCCCCTTCCAGACCCACTAATGGATATGCATTTCAACAAGGAATGCTTGAATATGTGTTACAATTTGAGAATCATGGATTGAAGGCCTCTTTGGGACAACTGATCCTGTGCAGCCCAACAATTATGTTCTGACCCCCACGATAAGCTCTGAATAATTTAGGAATTACTGCTGGACAGAATTGGAAGCTATATTAATTAAGTTTCCTCTTCACTATGACCAAATGCCCGGGCAAAGCAAATTAAAGGAGGAAAGGCTTATTTTGACTCATGGTTTTAAGGGACACAGTCCATTGTGGTGGGGAAGGCAATGACAGATCTGTGGTAGCATGTATCTATGAAAGTGGATGTCAGCTGATCATACCGCACAGCCAGGAAGCAGAGAAAGAATGGCAGGAAGGAGCCAGGGATATTTTACACCAAGGACCTACCCCCAGTGACCTACTTCCTCCAACTAGGCCCCACTTCTTAAAGGTTCCATGACCTTATGAAGAGTGTCACCAGCTAGAGACCCAGTGTTTAAACACATGAGCCTATGGGAACATTACATTGGAACTGTAACACATGCCTGCCAGCACACACTCCTGAAATGCACAACATGAGCCCTACTTTTACCCTGTGACTTTGCCTTTGGTAGTAAACATAGGCATTTCCATTCTATACCACTTCCATTTGAAGGGAGGCCATTTCTCCTTGAGGCTGTTATTCCAATATCTAGTCACAACACACCTGCAGTTAGAAAACCCCACGTGAAGCCCCCACATTCTGCCCTCTGCCCAGATCACTCTATCCTGCCTTTTGGACTTCTGCCCTGTGGTCTCTGAGTCTCTAGTCAGGCCTCAGTAGTGCCCACTCATCCTGGAGGGTAGATAGTCTTAGCCTTCCAAAGTGTTTTGCTTTGGGCTCTTTCTGGCACAGCAGGCATTTGCCTGCATGTTTGTAAAGAGCTGCTGCATAGAGAATCCTAAAGCTTTGGAAACAGTGAGGTAGATGGTTCTGATTCTTGTTTTACTCTCACCACACAGCCACCCACTGGCATAATTCTAGGGTTGCCACTGCTGCCAGAGCGCCTACTGAGTCTCCCCGCGTGGTCTCATGGTCTCACTCTGGGTCTCTGTCTCCCCCTTTCGTTTTGTGTTCCTGCTCCCCTGGATGCCTCTGCGCCTCTCTTCCACTTCATTCTCTTCTTTTTGTCCCTGGCTGCCCCTTCTCCCCAAACTTTTAATAGTGTTCCTTCTTTCTCCTTTTTGGCTTCACTGAATACCAGCAGCTGTCCAAATACCCGGAGGTATCAGTTAATATTTTCTGTGTCTTTAAACTAGTCAAACCTCTCTGAATGGGCTAATTTGTCTCTGGAGCTGGCCATGTTCTTAGCACAAATTTCAGTGCAAGATGCTTGCTCCAAATGGGTGCAACCCAAGCTGACAACACCACCTCTATATCTTCTTTGTCAGAAAAGAATAAGTAGATTTGAGTCGTGGCATGACTCAGAAAGGTATTCCCTGCCGTTGCAGGTTTCCCTAGAAGGAATTCCTAGAGAGTCCCAAAGTGTCTGAAAACCTTTGACAGAGGACAGTTTTGAAATCTCATGGGAGGAGTTAGGGTTCCCCTCTGTGTGCTGTCACTGCTGTGAGTCTAGGTGGGGTAACAGGCTCCATGTGGAATACCTGGCTTTTCTACTACGATCTCTTCCCCTGCTCCCTTCCCATGCCACCTTCCTTACTATCCCTTACCCAATTGCTATCATCCCCTCCTTTGGGTTTTTCGTTTTTCACATAAAGGAATTCATCAGCCCTTTTTTTTTTTTTTTTTTTTTTTTTTTTAACATTCTCTAAGGCTGTACTATCGAACAGGAGAGTTGCTGGCCATGGATGCAGACTCAAATCTCAATGCTATGAATAAAATGGATAAACTTCAACTCCTCAGATACACTGGCCACATTTCAAGTGCTCAGTAGCATCACATGACCAGGAACCACCACACTCGAAAGCATAGGTGAAGACTGTTGTAATCATTGTGAAGTTCTCTAGGACAGCACTACTGTAAACCAGAAAAACAAAACCAAAGCAAAACAAAACAAACCTATCTCAACATACGCATGTTCAGCATGTTCAGGAAGAGTCTTTCTCTCAGTCCTGGGGGTATAGCAAGGTATGAGACTCTCCTGTGCATTAGGATCATAAGACCCTGCTCAAGAATTCTAATCCACAGGATGGTAAGTTCTTTTTCACCCTATCCCGCCCACAGACTCTAACTCTCTCTTTGTCTTCTTCCCATCACTCCCTCCTTGACTGATGCCAGGACGGAGTCAGTGGCTGAGAAGATGTTGACCAATTGGTTCACTTTCCTCCTCTACAAGTTCCTCAAGGTAGGATGGGATGAGGGCACATTTCCGGCTCTGCCCTGGTTCCTGTCCTCCTGGGCCTGCCCCATTTCACTTCATACCCCCTATGCCCACTCTTGCTGGACCTGGTACTCCTAACCCACACAAAATGGAGCTCCTTGTTGTCAGGAACTACACTGAAGACTGAGTCCCACGTCTTGTCCTAACTTCAGAAACAATGTCCCCCACAGCTGATCTTCCCCCTCATGTGAGGGGTAGATGTTCCATTGAGATAGTGCCGTGTTGTTCCTAAAACTAAATTCCCATTTTAAGCTGAACACAACTCACCTGTAAGTTAATTTCCTCTTCTCTCCTACACTCCTTTCCCTCAGTCCCAGACTTATTTATGATAAGGGTCTCAGGCAAGCCAAAGATGTGCCTGCAAGATGGAAAAGCAGAGCTCTGGACTTCCAAATATGAGCTTGCTTCCTGAGGCACTCACAACCCAGAGGACCAACCTGTTTCTTGATTGGGCCTCCGGGGGGTGTTGGGAGTTGGGGGCATAAGAGGAGTTGAAAGGAGGGGAGAAAGGAAGGAAGGTAGCAAGTAGAACAGGATGGAGGAAGACCGTGGGTCCACAGAGCCAGGCTATATGCAAATCTGAAGGGTAGAGAGCTGCAGAAGAGGAAACAGGGAACGCGAGCCAGGTAGCAGGTAGAACTGGGACAGCAGCGACAGCTGGGTGGGCTCTGCACACCTGCGGTCCCAGAGCTCCACCAGCAGGTTTCTTCTCACATCCAGGAGTGTGCTGGGGAGCCCCTCTTCTCCTTGTTCTGTGCCATCAAGCAGCAGATGGAGAAGGGCCCCATCGATGCCATCACGGGAGAGGCCCGCTACTCCCTGAGTGAGGACAAACTCATTCGGCAACAGATCGAGTACAAGACCTTGGTGAGCCCCCTCGCTGCTCCCGCTCAGTTCTGGCAAGTGGACTTTGACCTCAGGGCAATCCTTCCCTATAGATGGAACAGTAGAGATGCTGAAGGAGCCACCTTTCCAGCTTTGTCCCCTGAGGATTCCTCAGTCCCCTGCTTCACCACCCTCCACTTCCTGTGGCCCATGCACCAGGGCACCCAGTGGCTTAACTATATCTCAGCAGCTCTTCAGCTGGTGCATAGATGTGGTCCCTGGAGGGACTGAAACAAGGGGTCAGGACCCCTGGCCAGCAGGGTTGGGAGTAGAGGTTATGGAGAGGTAGGAGGGCCAGCCAGATGCTCATAAAGACAGATTGGGACCCTGTGGCCAGGTGGGGAGATGCCCCCCCCAAGGACAAAGCCATTCCTAGTGGCTGGAGAGCCATCCCATCTTCCCATTCCCATCTTCCTGAGAGTCCAGGGAGTCCCAATTGCATTTGATCAGCCTCTCCAGATTAACTTCCTGTGGATCCAAAGGCACAGCCTGCAAGTGAGGCCCCTGCTTCCTTCCAGTTCCTAGATCAGAGAGGAAAGCCACAGACGTTGATTAAAATGGTAGACGTCAATTAAAATGGAAAAGATGGAACACACCTTTCCTAAAACAGGCTTGAATGGATTTAAAATGAAGACGAGGGAACACACCCTTCCAAAAATAGAGGCTTGAATGGATTTCTTAGTGAGCGAAAAGTGCCTTTAAATGTCTCGAGCCCCAATCCCCTCCATCCTTGGTCCTTTGTCATAAGCATCCACAATACCAGATGCCACATAATGAGTTGTGATCATGTTCTGCACCCTAAATTGCACCAACCTTTATTCCACAGGCCAAAAGGTTGTTAGTGCACCCAGCTGGTGTCAGGTGACAGACTAACAGAGAATGTGAAGAAATCAGAGTAGGTCAGGGCTGAGCATTCATTAAGATGGAAACATCTGGAGATGGGCAGGAAAGAACGGGAAAGATGTGGTTGATTATTTTGCCTGGAGATGGCAGGGCTGCAGGGAAAGATGTTCTTACACACGAAGGGGACACTCTATCCAGTGAGGAGGCAAGAAGATGTGCTGCGCCATGGTAGATGGAGAGGCAGAGACAGAGACTCCAGCTGAGTAGCGCAAACACAAAGTTGATGAGTACGGTGTAGGGGTGTGGGGTGGCTGGAGGAACCCCAGGAGCTTTGAGATGCTGATAGTAACCTTGTCCTAGGTGAGAGAGATAACCACAGAGGGTTACTGAGAAGCTCCAGCAGACACCAAGTGTGTCTCATTCTAGTCAAGTGTGTCCCCTAAGTATTATGTGATTAATTAGATTGCTGCTGGAACTTCAGTTAACACATCCCAGGGAGCACTCCAGTATCTACACTGTAATACCTGGGAACCTACTAGAGTGCTAGGTACGCACCTGGTTACCTGCCAGAGTGCCAGATATCCCCCTGGGAACATACTAAATGACTGGGTACCTACTGGGCTACCTGCTTGAGTGCTAGGTAGCCGGCTACCTGGGAACTTGCTGGAGTGTATGATACCTACCTGGTTACATAGTAGATTCCCCCTGGGAAGCCACTGGATGTCTAAATGTCTCCCCAGAGTTTACTAGGATGCTATATCCCTGCCTGGAAACCCGGTAGAATGCTAGATATTCCCTGGGAGTTCACTAGATGACTGGATGTCCCACGAGGAGCTTGCTAGATGGCTACATGGTCATGTGGGAGTCTGCTGGAGCACCATCCAGTTACCTGGTTGACTACTAGATGTTACCAGGCTGTCTACCAGATGCAGAATACCTAGGCTCCCTGGATCTGAATCAATACCATGTCTGAGTGGCCCTATTCACATGAATGTTTGAAGGGTACTTTCCTAGCAGAGAACGAGGGATGTGCTTCTGAGCCAAAAACCTTGTCCATCGGAGGGTTATTGCTTCCTCTCTGGAAAATCAGTCCCTGCCTAGAAGCATGCTATGGAGCTGTTGCCACAAGGACAGAGATCACCCTCAGGTTTCAGTTCCTGTTTCACACTCTCTTAGGGGAGGAAGCCCAGATAAGATCATGCTGCTGTCTGGGGGAGGCAGAGTGGCCCACCTCTGGCCAGACAGCAAGAAAGCACAAGGCAGCCAGGACGGGAGGGAGAGATGCAGAAGATTCTTAGAAAGGATGGAGTGGGTGGGAGAAGGCAGTCATGGCCACATGGCCTAGAGGTTCTGCCTCCCTCATTCTCTGCTCAGGGTATTTTGAAGGTGCTGAGTATGGTTTTACAGGTTTAGGAGATTTTTTTTTTTCTTCTTAATGGAATAAGCATGTTCCCCATTTGTGCACATAGCAGTCAAGTTGCTAATGAGAGGCAGAAGTCCAGGGCCAGAGTTCTGATTGCCACCACATGGAGCAGGAGGGGGGCTGGTGTCTGGTTCTGCAAGCCAGATGGGGCTACTGGGAAATGGTTACAGGGAGGGGCAGGGGGAGTTTAAGTTCTGTGGAGAGGCACACAGAGGGCTCAGGATCTAGGGAGCCCAGAATGGCAGGACACCTTGCTAGAGTCCCCTAATACCCAGGCTTCTCTGCCTCACTCTTATACACCTCAGTTCTTCTTGCATCCCACAGCCCCCTCCCTGTTCCACCAGGATCCACCCAGGGAACCTCCATAGCACTCACAATACAGAAAGAATAGAGTAAGAATGGCCAATGGAAAGCTTTGAACTTCTTAAAGGAAAAGTGAAGAACGTAAAGGAAGCAAAGAGCTGGTGAAGCAATTTTAAATTTCCCGCCTTTTTCTGAAGGGAGAACTAGAAGCCCTGCACTGGCTGTGACAGGTTCACAGCCAGGGAGGACTCTCAAGGGCTCTGAAACGGCAGTGTTTAAAATGCACGTTTTTATATTTAAAGAACATATTAAGCTCCTAATAGATCCAGCAGCCTCCAATCTTCCCAAAACCCTTCCTCGAACTAAAGCTGTTAAATCTTTCAAGACAGGGGTCCCCATTCTCATTAGTAGTGGGTGTGTAAGGGTGTGTGTGTGTGTGTGTGTGTGTGTGTGTGTGTTGGAGGAGCAATACGAAAGAATGACACATGGGGTGTGTGTGGGGTTTGGAAATGCTAAGGATCTGGGGCTACTAAGGGGGTACCTTCTGCATGTACACATCCAGGTGAAAGACTGTATGTGTGTGCATGCAATAATGCCTGTCCTGTTACAGACCCTGGCTACCACCCCCATGTGCTGGGACACTGTTCCCTTTGGAAAATCAAGACCTTAATGGCAGTTGTTCTGACAGAGAGTTAAGTGTTCAGTTTATACTCCTATAGTGATGTTGGAACCATGGTGATATCCTGCCTGTTTGGATAGGAGAGGGCCAGGGACCCATATAGGGACTTAGGTGAGTCACCCTGGCCCCTCCACAGTCCCTCATGGAGAGGAGGAGCCAGTCACAAAAGATCCCAGGATGGTGCTGAGGACTGGGAGCACTTCCTGGTGCCCTCACTCATTTGACCTTTCCCACCATCCCCAGGTCCTAAGCTGTGTCAGTCCAGACAATGCCAACAGCCCCGAAGTTCCAGTGAAGATCCTTAACTGTGACACCATCACTCAGGTCAAAGAAAAGATCCTGGATGCCATCTTCAAAAATGTGCCCTGCTCCCACCGGCCCAAGGCTGCAGACATGGACCTGGGTGAGTGGGCTGCCACCCAGGCCTTCTCTCATGGCCCGTCTTGGGTATTTCCTGCCTTCTTCAGTCAGCAGGAGACAGAGCTAGTCTTCAGGAAGCAGAAGGAAAGCAATGGATGGAGGGAAGCAGGCTGGAGTTGCCTTTTCAACCTGCTTGGAATTGGCGGGACGGTGGATGAACCCAAAAAGAAGAGGGGCCATAGTTTACTAGGTACCGGATTGGCAAACTTTCCTGGTAGGAAATGCCTCTGGGAGCCTTGGAATGACCGAGAACTGGGATTGCAGATGTCATATCTGAGTGAAGGGATTTAAAGGCAAAGCCTGCTCTTTTGAGTTCCTATGGCCAAGGTCTCCCCACTGTCTTTGTTCCTCCCCCCAGGCTCTCCCTCCCCTGTATGCAGTGCCTATAATTTTTGTTGAATACCCACAGCTTGAGGATCTGAGTCAGTCATGGAGGATGGAGATAGAGACTAGAGGAAAGTGAGATGTGACGGCCTGTTTCAGAGCAGGATGACATTGTGTTTGAGTGTTCCATGAAGAACTAGCATAGCCTGTATAAATAAGAGCATGCCACCCAGGGCCAGTACTTAGATCCAGCCATACTATGCATGAGTGCTTCACAGAATGTCATTTGAGGGGCATCCTCTGGAGGAGGATGAAGAATGCAATTCCAGTATCCTGAGCCATTGTAACACCTGGATATGGCTTGGTATCCCTAGATTCTTGCTGTGTGACCTTGTTCAAGTTACTTAATCTATCTGTGCCTACTCTCCTTATCTATAAGCTAGGGATAATAATAGCATCTGCATCATAGTAGGAGTTCAGCACATCAAAAGTCTTTGTGTGCCATTCTTATGCCATGATACAGAGCATGGTACTTGTACTGCAGTGTTGGCTACAGTTTTTATGAAGATGCTTCCAAGGACATTGGCTATGGCTGTTTGTGGATGGTGTACATGAGGAGTGCATTGATTCCTGACCACATGGGGGGTAGGAGGACCCCCAGAGGTCCTGAACATCCATCTGTCCTCTAAATTGGCTTCTATTAAGCCAAGTAAGACATATGGGCATCTAATTCTTTACTCAAATCCAGGGCAAGTTTTTGGTCCCTCCCCCCAGATTCTGATGCTTAAAGACCCTGAGCATCAGGAAGTTCTGCTAGCTCTATGAACTTTTTATATCCCCACTTCACCCAGTCTCTCCCACTTGGCTCTGCTGGATGCATGGGGGCATGTGCTCCGAGCTTCTGGGTCAAGGGAGAGAAGCTTGAGTGAGCACGGACCCCTTTACTTGGAGGATGTCTCTCAGAGTGTGTGGAGTACTGTGTCCATGCATGAGTCCCAGGGCACCGGTCCCTGGAGCTAGGTGGACTTGCATGTCTATATGCATTTGACTTACCCTTACTGCGGTGAGGCACCCTGCAGACTAGTGGGCCTGTGGAGCCAATGGGGGAGGAAATAGTTTCTGGAAGGAAAGGTTTTGTGCTACTCTCTCCCAGACAATCATAGGGTGGAGCACAATGGCTTGAGTAGACTAACTAGATGGTGCCCATGTTCCTTTTGTTTTATCTGTGGGCCTAGAGCAGAGCCACCCTCAGTGCCTCTGAGTCCTTATCTGTAAAGTGCGTGGGGGATATCCCTAGGGGCTGAGAAGGGATGGCAGAAAGCAGAGGTGAGAGTGCAGAGGATGTACTAAATGACAGAAAGACCACTGAGCATGTGTCTTATACTTAGAAACACCCAATCAGTGAAAAAGTGTAGCACATCTCACACCCACAGTCATGAACCATCTTGAACTGAAGTCATTTCCTGCCATTCCCTAAGAGGGAAGAAAACTTGAGACCTGCCAGAGCTGACTGGAGAGAGGCTGAGGTCTCCAGCTGCAGGCTGCAGAGACTTCTCAAGTCACCTCCCTCCATACAAGCAGACCTCCAGTGCTACAGTGCTCCCCATGAAGGCTCATGCACAGGTGCCAGAAGTACAGAGTGGTTCCCTCTGCCACTGTGGCGCTCCTGAGGCTGCTCCTGGGGGAGTCATGCCACCCTATATTAGGGAGGTTATAGCAGGGAACCAGAGGACCAGCCTCAGCAGTCTGACCTCGGGCCACATCCCATGGGGAAAGTGGTATCCTGCTTGCTTTCCCAGGGGTCTCTCTGTTCAACCCCACAGAGTGCTTTCCTTAAAGTTTCCTTTTTGTTAATTAAAGCCAGTCTTTGAAGCAGCCTCCAAACTCTAGGCTTCTTCAGTCCAAACCCAGGTTGCAAAGAAAGGAAAATGAGGTCTCCTCAAAGACTCAAATGTCACTTCTGTACCTTGCCCTATGGGGAGAGGGAGGTGAGGTGAGTTGTCCCTTTCATGTAGGTGAAAGTCCTTTGAAAGCCTAAAGCCATGTATAAAGAAAGATGTCTCTATTACCACAAATTAATCTATACCAAGGGTCATCTGACACACAGACTGGGTTAGGTCCACTCATCCTGTGCTGGGCAGAACCAAAACAACAGAGCACCATTTCCTACAACCTCCTCCCACCATAGAAGGTATCTGGTGCAGACTGCCTCCCTTCCCCAGATGACCAGTTCCTGTCTCAGACTAGCTCAAAAGGAAGCAGTCTAAATGGCTTCTGTCATCACCCCCCCAAAAATCCATCCCAGCTCACTCCCTGCCTAGCGTGAATTAGGCTTTCATCTTCCCAGCAGCCAGGTCTGCAGCTCCTGTGCCCAGCATGTCCACTCATGGCTGCTTGGATCAGCATTCTCCTAACACTCACTTTTCCCCCATGTGAGCCTTTTCTAGGCATTATGAGACCCATAGGAGCAGCTTGCTTGGCAGGAATCTGTAGGCAGAGCCAATATTCCATTGTACAGTGGTATAGCCACACATCCATACAGTGTTCTGTGGCTCACTATCAACACAGTATTCAATAAAGTACAGGAGATCCTCATCACTTTAGGATAAAGTAGACTTTTGACTTGGCCTGACTATAGGTACTCTAATGACTTTAAGCTGAGCTAAGCTAGGAGGCATTTTTACTTAACAAATGTTCCACTTAGGATGGGTTTATCTGGACATAACTCCATTGTAAGGTGAGTTTCTTTCTATCTTGGTCTCAGTCTCTGATTCACTCTCTCTCTCTCTCTCTCTCTCTCTCTCTCTCTCTCTCTCTCTCTCTCCCTCCCTCCACCCCTCCTTCCCTCTCTGACTCTGTGTCTCTCTCTGTCCCGCTCTCTCTCTGTCTCTCTGTATGTGTGTGTGTGTGCATGTGCGTGTGCATGCGCACATGCGTATGTGTATGCACATTTCTTTGAAGGAGCTGACCATGTAATTTTTCCAGCTGACAAGCCCAAAATCTGCAGAGTACATTGGCAGGATAGAGACCCAGGGAAGAGCCCAAAATCATCGCTTACAGAATTCCCTCTGGCTTAGGGGTGGTCAGCATTTTGTTTCCTGCAGACCTTTAGCTGACTGGATGAGGCCCAACCACATTAAGGAGAACAGTTTTCCAAGCCTATGCATTTTAAATGTTGTTGTAGTATACCCATACCTCACACAAGTACACAGAGTAATGTTCCACCAAGTAATCTGGGCAGCAGGGCCCTACCAAGTTGACATGAAATTCACCATCACAGGGCCCAAAGCAGAGGATAAAGGTCTGCCTTGGTTATAGGTTGTTGGGATATATGAAAGATATTTACAGATGCTATGAGAGTGTGGGGCTCTCAAAGCACAGTATCCAGGTGGCACCCTACCCTGCATGGATGTGCTGGCTCCATCAGTTCACTGCAGTTGGGTATCTGGGCAGGGACCTACTTGCATCTCAACTCTTCAAACACCTGTCCAACATAAGAGCCCACCTGTTGCAAGCTCTATGCCAAAGCACAGTGCCTAGAAGTTTGTTGCTTCTGCGCATGGTAGCAGAGGCAGGACATTTTCTCTCCGAGCTAAGGCACACATTTTCACCCCCTTTACTCCCCAGAGGAAACCACTGCTGCTGTTGAACTCCTTTGCACAAGTAGAGAATCTATAGCTCAGAGAGGCACAGTGCCTGGATCCATATCACACAGCGGAGAGGTGGAGAGAGGACCATTTCCTTCCACAGTCTCCCCTGCAAGCCTTTTTTTCCTCCCTCTACTACTACTGGTGACCTCCAGAGATTCCTCTGGTTTAAGCAAATGCTCTGTCAACAGCCCCCAGGACTCCACCACCCCCTCTCTGTCTTGCTGAAAGGATATATTTTTTTTCAAATAAGTAATTCCTGTATACAATAAAAAGATACACTATCTTCTGAATGAAATATAAAGAGTTCACAGCAGCTGTCTCCCCGGTTTGCATTTTCTGCCTGGTGATGGGAAGGACAGATAAAGATAATGGGATTTCTTCTTTTTTATTTCACCTCCCTCTCTCCCTGGAAGGTGGAATATAAAAAATTGGATCATGAGTATGCCTGTCCTTTGTGCTTGGTGCCTGGAGCAGGGCATGGGAGAGAAAGAGGTCTCAGCCAGCAATTTTCCCCTGGTGCCATTTATATGAATACCAGGGTCACCTTTCCTCCTCCCCATGGCCACCACCTGAGTGTTTAACTCTTCTTTGACCCAGCACACTGCCTGAAGCAAAACCATGTTCAAGAACATCTACCGAAGCCAGGGCTGGTGGCACTGGCCTATGATCCCAACTGTGGAGAGGGCTGAACCAGGAAGATCACAAGTTCAAGGTGTGCCTGGACTACAGAGTGAATTTAAGGCTTACAAGACAGCTTACAAGACAGTGTCTCAAAATTCAAAAACAAAAGAGAGCTTGGGATGTAGTTCAGGAGTACCGTACTTGCCTAGCATGCAAAAGACCCTCTGCTCAATACTTATCACTAGAGAAAAAGAAAGAAAGGAAAAAGTCTACCCAGTGAGCGGTAGCCAGGCTTTCCTTTGCATTCCCAGCTTTCTCCAAAGAGCAAAGACTAGATGGCGCAGGGCGCTTTACAGTTTATAAGACAAGGATGCATTTCTGTTTTGTAAATTACTTCTTTTAAGCATTGCATTTACTTTGTACTTGAGAACGTGCTGTCACTATAATGTCTCCTCTTTAAAAAAGTAGTTTTAGATGGTCACCTCTCCCATACTGGCTCAGTTTTCTTACCCTTTCCTGTGGTTTTTCAAAGTTCTAGGAATGGAACCCTGGACCTTACACATGTTAGGCAAGGACTTTATATACCCTCAGACCTCTTTTTGCTTTTTATTTGGGGGCAGAATCTTCACTAAGCTGCCCAGGTTGGGTTGAAATTCACTCTGTAATCCGAGAAGACTTTGAACAAGCAGTCCTCTTGGACCAGACTCCTGAGTCACTAGGATATCCTTACAAGCACAAAACCAAGCCAGACTTTTAACCTTTTAAGCAGTCACTCTGACCCTCTCATAACTTCAAAATGTGCCTGCGGTCCTTGCCCTAGACACGTCAGAGTAACCAGGTGTGGGGGGAATTAGGGCCCTCGGCCGGGACTTCCTTGGGCTTACCTGCTCACAGGTAGGCCGAACAGAATCTGGCCTCCTCTCCCAACCTCTCATGGGTTCTGTGTGACAGGATGCTGTGGGGTTCTACAAATCTGCTGCAGAACCCAAGATGAGAAAGGGTGGCCTGGTGTGAAAGTAGAGGTACTGTTGTGAAGTGAGACTTACTTGGTACCCTGAAAATGGATTCTTTAGGCTCTGCCTATTCTGGTACAGTCTCCTTCCTGCCTCGCCTCTCAGCATAAGCTCATGAAGACTTCCATGATGTGAATGGTCTGAGGAGAGGTAGCTATAGGAGAGCTGGTCTCAGGGCTATGGCAAAGCATGGAGGATCCATGCTTAGAGTGAAATATGAGCTGTGCTTGCATCTGTGCGTGCATGTACGTGTGCATGCCCATATGTCTGTCTGCCTGTAGGCAACTCTGCAAGGGTCAGAACTGCTGAGGTGCTGTGGGCCCTGGGGATGATTTGCTTCTCACTGTGGCACCTGCTGCTGAGTAGAGGATTCTCCAGGAGCTGGGCTCCTCATGTCCTCAGAGGCAGAATCCTCTTCCAGGTTCTCTTCAGGCAATTCCCTCCATCCAATAAGCCCAGCTTCCCACCACCGACTATGCACTTCCTCGACACATCTTCCAAAAACATCTCCAAGAGCTTCTGGCCCATGTCCTGAACACTCCTGTGATCTGCGCCCTGTCCCTCACCCTCTGTATCACGCCATCACTTTTCTTCCTTGGACAGCCTTCTTTCAGGGCTTCCTGCTCCTGTTGCTCTAAGGCTGGCCTCTCCCCTCACCATTCCCCAACCCCGTGGTCTTCAGCTCAACCCCACACACCATGGCTTGGCCTGCTGGATCTTGTGAACATCTTCTAATCCCCAAGGATCCCTCCACCCTTCATTCCAACCTTTTCCCATCAGGTCTCATTCATACTCATGGATCTCTAAGTCTCACACAACTGCTTCCTTTGGACCTGAACACCAGTCCCTTATCAGGCAGGCAGGCATGTACTGTGATATGCTGCCCACACAGGGCAGCCCTCTCCCATCCATCTGGCTCTTCTCTCTCCTCTGTGAGAACAAACTCATCAAGCAGTAGAACATTCAGAAAGCGAGCCCAAATCCACACACATTTTCTTGAGGCATTCCAAAGACATAAGAAACTTAATATTTATTTAATAAATGACTGCGTGAATGAAAAAAAAAAAACAAATGAATGGAGGGGACCCAATGAGACTCAGATATGAGTGACAATGGGGCTCTTGGCGCCTTCAGAATCAGAGTTTTCAAAATGGCGACACATGGAACAGTATATAGGTGTGAAGACAAAAGCCAGAGCTAGCTTCTGTCAGGATAGGATAGAAGATTGGTCAGTGTGGGTTGATGTGGAAGTGGATCCAGCTAGTGGGGTTAATACAGAGACCCTGGCCAAGGAGGGTAAGCCCTGGGGAGCAGGTTTCCTTGTGACCTATCTAAAGTCTGTCTGGAATGCAGGGTTGTCTTCCAGCTGTGCCCCACATTCTCTTGCATCTGGGGTTCTGCTGTGTAGACTATTGGTGGCCCTTGCTTCTTTCCCACAAGCCCCATGAATGGAGCTGCCAACAGCAGCTACCCATCCCCCAGACTTTCTTCTATCAACATTGGACTGGGATGGTATGAAATTTCATTTTTTTAAACCTTTCCAACAGTCCAGAAAGAAGCACATGGCAAGCCCATCCCCCAGACTTTCTTCTATCAAAATTTCATTTTTTTAAACCTTTCCAACAGTCCAGAAAGAAGCACATGGCAATTTTTCTGTGTAAGAAACAGCAAAAATAATAGGCTTAAGAGCGCTAAAAGCAAGGCTAAGTGTTCCCTTTGATTCCACCTCATGATCCTTATATTGGTATTTGGGGAGACATCCCTAACTGTTTGAGATCAAAAGACAATAGTTGCTACCTCCTGGGTATCCACAGAGTCTCCTGTCAAAGCAGGGAGACTGGCTCGGGGCTGCAAGACTGGGCAACATGGAGGCCTCTTCCTGAAACCCCCAGTCCTGTGACCAAGCATTGACATCAGTACGAGTGTATGTCCACTTGCTCACTGTCCAGTATCTTGGCCATGGGGAAAACATGGTCATCCCATCAGCATGACAGGCCCAAGTAAAACAGCCTGTCAGACTCCCAAAGCTTCAAGGGCGATGTTTAGTAGAGACTGGCGCATGCCAGCATCAGTCTGGTCATCGTTCAGGGTTCAGATCCATCCTTTCCCCACCCTTCCTCACACTACTGACACATAGTTGACCCTAGCCATGGCACACAAAGGAGGGAGGAACTGTACTTTTTATGCCACACATGGGGCCACAAGGGAACTCACAGCCTGACCTCGGCAGGAAGAAAACAAAATGGGCACTTTTCACATGTGTCTCTGGGGTCTATAGGAAAAGCTCCCTGGCAGGCCAAGCAGGCAGGGTCATACAAGGGATGCCCACATCTACAAGCACTCAGAGCAAGCCCAGTGTACTCTGCAGGGCTCAAGAACACCAGAAGCTGGGAGCCAGGGAGCAGGGTCTCAGCTGCCTGGGAACCAGATTGCCAGCTTCTTGGCTGGGACACACGTTGTGTTTGACTTTAAGAGACGGTTTTTCCTTTACGGTGTGTACTCATGAAAATGGTATGTATGTATGCAAGAACATGTGTAAGCATAAACAGGTGAGCTGCCATGCACATACACTTCCCAGTGTGTATTTCAAGACTGTAATGTGTCCTTTGCCCTCTACACATGATCTGTGTTAAGTAGGATGATGTTTTCTAGCTGATGAGAAGCAGTGCTCTTTATTCTTTGTGTATATATGTCCCTCAGATCGGCCTTGGGGTAAAGGTACTGGTGAGGAGAGGTGAGGATGTAAGTATATATCTATATTAAAATAATGACGTGCTGACTACGTAACAAGATGGATATTATCCACAACAGCTTTGTGGGTGTGAGAGTATTTCAGGATGTGAGAATGGTCCAGACGCTTTTGCCCAGTTCTCTTCCAAGGGTGAACACCTCCCCCTGCAAGACACACCAAAGGAACAGGTGTGGGGCTACAGAGAGTTAACCTGCAGGAGAGATTTCACCAGCTCCTGGGCTTTCCAACCTAGACAGCAAGTGGTGCGCTGTGACGGTGCCACCCACATTGCCAGTGCTTTGCTAAGTGCTTCATGATTCGTTGAGTCGTCATTTTTCACCTCATGTGCACAGAGTATATGTTTCTTGAAGATGTGGATGCTCACAGCAAACAGGTGCAGAGAAGACAGATGGTGTTATCCTTATTATTTTTCTTTTACATGATGTGTTGGGTTAGGAACAGAACTGAAGCTCAGGGCCTTTCTGCCTTGAGAACAGCTACACTCGTCCTCTTGGCATCCTGGAACTGGTCTGTCTGTGCACATGTCCTTGAGATGGCACTGTATGGGTACCTACACAGGACACTGAGGGTGCTTCCAGGAGGGCCCAGAGGACCTCTCTGAGTGCCACTACTTTCCCTACAGAGTGGCGACAAGGAAGTGGGGCAAGAATGATCCTGCAGGATGAGGACATCACCACCAAGATTGAGAATGACTGGAAGAGACTCAACACACTTGCCCACTACCAGGTGAGCTGAACAGGGAAGGTAGGAGCTGGCCAAGCAGATGACCATTTCCCTAGGAGTGTTAGGTCTTGAATTACAGTCATCCAGAGCTAGATACCAGCTCCCAATGCATTCCTCACCAACAGTCCATGTTCCTTGGTGACCCAAGGGGAAATTATGTCACTCAGCTTCTGGCCTCTTTGGAGATAGGGTGTGGCATGCATGTTTCCTTCAGGGTGTAAACAAAGTCCCCCAAGGATCCTTGCTTAGAAGGCTTTCTGGGCCTTTATGGCTGGGTGATCTCCAAGCCTCAGGAGGGAGAAGGTAAAGGAAGAAATCATGCCAGAAGTTGCCCCATACAAAAGCCACAAAATAGAACACTGCTGATACTCAGATCTGTGACTTGTCTTATCCAAAGGAAAAACAGTAGCCTCCAAAACCCCATGTTCCCAGCAAGATGCTACTTGTCTCTTAGGCCCCAGTTAATCCTAACTTGTCCTTATTTCTGGGAGGGGTGGCAGAGTTTCAATGCCCAGTCCTTAGAAGCCTTTTCTTTGTAGGTGCCAGATGGTTCTGTGGTGGCTTTAGTGTCCAAGCAAGTGACAGCTTATAATGCAGTGAACAACTCCACAGTCTCTAGAACCTCAGCAAGTAAATACGGTAAGATTTCATCAGACTGAGGGGAGGAAGGATGTGGGGGTGAGGATATCCTGAGCCACTGTTGTCTTGTCATCAGATGCATGGACTGGGATAGAAGATCAAGTCGGCTGAGCTTCAGAGAGATCTAGGCTGGGGTAGAGGTGCCTGATTCCAATCACTAGCTCTGAGGCAGAAACATAAACTTCATCTGCAAGCTAAGGACAATGTAGAGTTGGAGAAATAGCTCTGTTGTTAAAGTGCTTGCTATGCAAGCATGAGGACCTGAGTTCAACCCCCAGAACCTATGTATAAATACCAGGCATGGGAGTGTTTGCTTGTCATCTCAGCTCTGGAGAAGTGGAGGTAGATGGATCTCTGGAGTTGGCTGGCTAGTCAGCTTAACCTCCTTGGTGAGGAGAGCGCTGTCTCAAGAAACAAAGTAGATGGTACAGGAGGAATGACATCCAAGGTTGACTTTTGGCCCCCACGTGTGTACATACACATACCCACCTGGACACACACACACACACACACACACACACACACACACACACAAATCTAACCTTCAGGAATGTCTTAAAGTCTGTCTTTCTTTCCCTCATCATTTCACATCAAGTTCACAACAGTCTAGTGAATTATTATTTGCCTTATTATTCAGATTGGCAAATTATAACTCAGAAGTATAGAGGATAGACGACTGGCAAAAGTTGCACCTTTATTATGCAGCAATATGAAGGGGCGGGCCCAGGTCTAAGGCTTTGGAGTGGAGGAGAATGGGTGTTGGATATGGAGTGGAAACTCCAGAACTGCCCTGATCTGCTGCTACCTTTGCTTGAAGGTCACCCAAGCAGAGACACTCTTGTAAGTAAGCAGGGTTTATATAAATGACAAACATCATAGGACAATGCGACTCTTAAAGAGGTAAACATCGCACATGTGAGGTAAACATGGCACATGTGCACAGTAGGACATGGTCCTCTGCCTGTTCCCATTTCATCAAACCTCAAAACATGCAGGAGGTTCAGCAACCAAGTGGGAAGAAGTGGCCTGGGCCAGAGGATGGTGAAGGCAGATACCTCTGTGAGCCCTCAACTGATCAACATTCACTACGAGAGACAAGCTACCTATTCTTAAATGTGCCCTTAATTGGCAACACCAAGGATATGCTACAGGACTTAAAAACACCTACAAAGAAAAGTCTAAAAGAAGTACAAGTCTATATTTCCACAAATTGAATAATTAAAGGTTGACTCAATGCCAAGTACAGGAAGGGGAGGGCAGCCCGAGTGGGTGGAATTTGCTACAGAGAGTTCCTGGAGGTGGCAGGAAAGACATCTGCATTTCAGGGAATGTGCCACACTGAGGCAAGGTAATGGTGCCAGTCAGTGAGTGGCAGGAAGGATCAGACAGTAGTGGCCTTGGCTGGGGACAGGGGTGTGCCATGAGTTACCAGATAGATAAGACATGTTGGTTATGGTCTTTGCATTGGCAGAAAACATGATCAGGTACACGGGCAGCCCTGACAGCCTCCGCTCCAGAACACCCATGATCACCCCTGACCTGGAGAGCGGAGTCAAGCTGTGGCACCTGGTAAAGAATCATGAGCATGGGGACCAGAAGGAGGGAGACCGGGGGAGCAAGATGGTATCTGAGATCTACCTGACACGACTACTGGCCACAAAGGTATGGGGAATGAGACCAGGGTGAAGTATGTGTATGTGCAGGCGAAGGGAAGGGGCTTCATGTGCCTGCCAAAATGCTAGGGCTAAGGAGATGGCTCTTGGGGGAAGTGCTTCCCACGAGAGCATGAGAGCCCAAGTTCAATCCCATGAAACCCAAATTAAAAATCAAAGCAAGACTGCATAGTGACATGCACCTATGATCTTAGTGCTGGGGAGGCAGAGATGGGATAATCTCTAGGGTCTGCTGGTCAGCAAGTCTAGCTGAACCAACAAGCTTCAAGTTCAGTAAGAAACCCTTCCTCAAATAAATAAATGTGGAATGTAATTGAGGAAAACACTCCTGACATTGCCTTCTGGCTTCCACATAGACTTGCACACAAATGCACACACATCTGCACACATGCATGCACACACACACACACACACACACACAATTGCTAGGGCTAACACACACCTAGTAACTAGGAACTGTGCTCCAGCCCTTTCTATTTTGCACTCATAGCAAGCACTGACATGAAACCTGGGACTCCTCAGGATGGAGCCTCAGAATCCTGCTCAACCCAGCACTCCAGGCAGATTTCATCAGACTTGAGTCAGCATGAAATCTAAAGTTGTATTCTTTTTTTAATTTATTTTTGCACATTTCACATACATTTTGATCATATGTAGACACCTTCCCTATCTGTACCCTCCCTCAATATCCCCTGTCCAATTTTATCTACTCTGTTATATATATGAAGGCCTATGGAGTCAAATTTGTGTCCTCAAACCCCGTTCAGTATGGGTCCATCGCCTGGAGCCTTGTTAACCTGTCATACCCTTAAAGAAAACCAATGCTCCCTCTCCTAGAAGTTATCAACTATGAGCCCATAGTTTCTCAGCTAGGATTGGGGTTTCTTGCCTATTTCCCCATTTTTATGCTGGGTTTTTGTCTGGTTTAAGCTTACATGGATCTTATGCATGCTGTCGCCATTGCTCTGAGTTCATATGAATGACTGCCCCACTGTCTGGAGAAGTCTGTTTCCTTGTAGTCATCCACCACCTCTGGTTTTTACAGTCTTTCCACCCCTTCTTCTGCAATGGTCCCTGAGCCTTGGGTGGCAGAGGTTTGATATAGGTGTCCTATTCAGGAATAAGCACTCTATAGTCTGTTATTCTCTGGACATTGAATAATTATTCTTACTTTCTTAATGACCTTTCTCAGATACACAGACCCTGCTACATCTAATCCAGTTCTCCTACCACTTCTTATGGAAGCATCCCTTGTTCTCGGGGGGTACCCCACATCATTGCTAGGGATGGAAGTTAGAACTCTATCCATGCCTTTGAAGGCACCATTTCTAATCCTGGTGTTGGAGATGCCATGCCTATGGTTTCAGCCTTTCTCTCTGGAGCCCTGATTCACTGGGCTCTCTGTGGACACAGATGAGTAATTGGTCATTTGCCAGTGTGGATAATGTCCAGACGGAACCACAAGATTATGTTTGTCAGCTCTGACCAAACATGCTCATTAGCATTTGTGAAAAATGCCATAACAGCATTGGCAGAAAAACCAAATGCTAGGCCTGGCAGAGGAAGGTGGCTCAGGCCCTGTTGTCTGTGTTCTGTCTACTGTCTGTGTGCAGGGGAAAGTTAGAGCTTCCAGAGACCATTGAAAGAGGGAAAGGCATGGTGTACTATACCTCCCGATGTCACTGTAAACAAAGCGGGCAGAACATGGATGTCCTTTGTTCTGCTCCTGAAGTAGTTTTTTAAACCCCCCTGAGCAGTGTAGTTAGAGCCAGATCTGAACATATCCCCCTCTCCAGGGCACACTGCAGAAGTTTGTGGATGATCTGTTCGAGACCATCTTCAGCACAGCCCACCGAGGCTCTGCCCTACCCCTGGCCATCAAGTACATGTTTGACTTCCTGGATGAGCAGGCTGATAAGCATGGGATCCATGACCCTCATGTCCGCCACACCTGGAAGAGCAACTGGTAAGTGATGAGTGGGACAGGCATATCTGGAGAGTACAGTAACCTGTCTGCCCAGGCCTAAGTCCTGGTGACAACTTTTCTGGAGATGAGCTGGTCATTGTCTACTTCCCAGCAAGGCCTCCACGAAACCTCAGTCTCTGTTCCTCCCCAGCCTCTTACTTCCCTCTTTTCAAATCTGTTTATGCATATTCATTTCCAGTCAGACATTCAGTCAACAAACATTTATTGGACCAATTCAAAGAGTAAAAAATAGTATGTGCCAATGTCATAGCCAAGCCACTCTCATATCCAGGGACCTACTGGGTATGGGACATTGTGTTCAACACTGAGGATCCTAGACTCATCAGACAGAGCCCTTTTCCTCAGTGAGCTGAAAGATGAGGGTATGGGACAAGAGAGACAGCTGTCAGTACACAGACAAATACCAGCATAGAAGATGGTGTCCTACAGGATCACAGAGCAGCTGCATCTCATGGCATCTTGTCAGCAGAGTTTTAAGGCACATGTAGATGGCACCCGGATGAACAAGGAATGTTCCAATTTCATCCAATAATCTGCTCTTTTCCCTTTTCACAAACTCCTTTCCAAGAGCTGTCCAGAAACACTTTGTCTTTCCTGGAGGCTGTAGGAGTCTCTAACTACTAATGACACTCTACATGTCTCCACTGTGGTCCCTTCTCCTTTTAATACAGTATCCTCCCCATCATCTGAATATAGTATTTCATCTTAGGTTGAAATTGTAAGACCAACCATCAGAATTCAACACAGAGTACAGAACCATACACAAAGTGAGGCTCAGGAAATAGTGATGAAATGTGGGCTGCCATGGCCTGTTTCAGAGTCCTACCTTAGGTAAAGCTGGCTGCTGTTCAGACCCATTCAATCCAAAGCTGCTTCCCGGTCACCTTTATGCATTCCGCATTCAGGCCACTCTTGTTCAGTTATTTTTTCCAAACAGCACAGGCTTGGTACCCAGCACTACCACTGCTAGGACTGGCAAGTTTCCAGAGCACAAGTAGGCACCCTGATGCCTAGCTGGGGACCCAGACCTGAACACCGAGGAGGCAGAAGTCAGCCTGGGCTGCTGATGCTATTTTCTGAGATGTGCTCTGACTCTCCCCTCCTCCACTCACAGAGGAGCACTCCCTGTGGGGATGGGAACACCAGCCCAGGCAGAGGCTCAGCCCATGCCTCAGAAGAGTTTATGTCATATTAACTATGTTGGAGTCCTTCCCAGCTTTCTAAAGTGAGGACCCTAGAATCTGGTTTCCACCCTGTGTAGCTATTCTGGTGAGATAGTTTCCTCCTCTTTAAATCCTGCCAGTATGACTCTTGGGTGGTATCTGAGGGGCAGTGCCAGCTCTGAGTCTGCATTTCTGTCCGTGAATCTTACCAATTCCCCCACCTTCATATGAGACAAGTTCTCTGCCCAGTCTTTCTCTTGGCTTTGTCCAGGGAGCGCTGGTCCCTTACACAGCACCCCTAAGTGCCAGCCCTCTTTATGCCCTCCCAAAGACTCAGGTGCTGCACATATAGAAACAGACTGGATGATGGAAAACCAGGAAAGTGGGTAACTACACCAAGTTCAAGATCTCTCAAAGGGCATCTCTTGATGCTGGCCTGTCCCCATGCTACCTTGGACAAGATGAAGTCAGAAAAGATGAGCTCTGTGTGTGGACTAGAGTTCACCATCCATGCTGAGGGCATTGTTTCTTTATTCCTGACTAGGGGTGTGACTTGCCCTCCCACCTCTTCTTCCTCCTTCCACAGTTCCCTGTCTTCTCTCTTTTAAATAACCCTCCTGCTCATTTAGCCTGAGTGGCCGCAATCAGCCAGAGAGGAGCGGTACCACTGATGTTAATAACATGCTAATATTTCATTAGGCAGGAGTCTCTGTGGTACCTTGGCTTCGAGGGCGATGCACCTGTCATCCCAACTGGCTTAAGTGACAGGGAGAAACAATCAGTGCAGCCATGTGGAATCCCAACACCCATGCTCTGGGTGAGACTTAAGAAACCTAGGAAGATATAGACAGGAGAGCTCTGATAGGGAAACTGAGTCCCTGATCCAGAGCTTTAAGCCCAGAGACAATGACCTGGAGAAGGTTGAGAAGCTACCATGACTCCCCTGTACCCATGTACTGTGGCCCCCTGAGGTGTCCTTGGATGTCACCCCATTTATTTCCTGTCCTGGATTTCCAGTGATATAGAAAATGACATCAAATATTATCAGGCTTCTGTGTGCCTGCTCCAGTCCTATGCCATAGTCTTTGTAGGGACTTAATAAATGCTTGTTGATTGATTGGCAACCATGAATGTCAGATCTTCCTGTATTTATAGTGTTTGTTTGTATTATACATACTGACTGCTGGAAGATACAAGTGCAAAAATATCGTACCTGGTGCCTTGAAATAATGTAATTCAAAGACTTTAAGTTCTAAGAGGCAAGCCAAACACATGCGGGCATTGTAACTATCACCAACCGTGAGCACAGCCACCAAAACAACAATAAAACATCAGGGGAAATGGCAGGAGGTGCAGAGGTGGAAGAAGAGGGAAGGAAGGAAGCCATGCCTGACTTGGCCCTGGCACCTTCCCCCATCCCCCTCACCAGCAGCTCAACAGGCTGGTGGGAGCTGCAGAGTGAGGCTGTGCAGGGAGAGCACAGCTTCAAAGAGGCTTGGGCTGCTCCTCCTTCTGCAGGGACCCTGTCTAGTGTCACACAGTGACTACAGAATCAGGCCACACTGTGTAATCCGTGTTTACGGATTCCCCACATATTGTTTGTCCCTGCCTAGCTAAGGAAAAAGAGTTTTAAAATAAATCAGATGTGGAGCTGAGCATGTAGCTCAGTTGGTAGGGTGCTTGCCTAGCATTATGAACTCTATGTTTGATCCCCAGCACCACACAAAACTAGGTATGGCAATACACATATGTAACCCAGTTATTTGAGAGGTGAAGGCAAAAGAAGATTGGGAGTTTGAGGTCATCCATTGTTACATAGTAAATTCGAGACTACATGAGACCCTGTTTCATAAAAGGAAGGATATAGAAATGAGGAGATGGCTCTATTGGTAAAGTGGTTACCATGCTTGCTTGAGGACCTGAGTTCAATCCCCAGTACCCACATAAAAGGTTGGTTGTGGGGGGCTGGAGAGATGGCTTAGCAGTTAATAACACTGACTGTTCTTACAGAAGACCTGCACCCACATGGCAGCTAACAACTGTCTGTAACTCCAGTCCCAGGGGATCCGATAGCCTCTTCTGTCCTCTGTGGGCATTGCGAGACACAGATGCACTTGCCTACATGCAAGCAATACACACATACACATAAAAATAATAAATAAAATATTAATTAAAAAGTTGGTTGTGGCTTGTAACTTTGGCATTGCAGAGACAAAGACAGGATCTCTAGGGCTTGATGGCCAGTCAGTCTGTTAAACTTAGTCAGTAAGTCCCAGGCCAGTGAAAGACCCTGTCTCAAAAAATAAATACAAAACAAAACTGCAAGGTGGATGGTGTCTGAGGAATGACACTCGAGGTTTATCTCTAACCTCTACACATGTGCACACACAAATGCACCTCTATACACAGGAACATGCTTGCATAAACACACACACACACACACACACACACATACCACCACCACCACCACCACCAAAACCACCACCACCATGAACAACAAGGACCAAAACTCACTGTGTCCCCTCTGAAATGGCTTTGGAGATGATGCTCTCTGGGTCGGTATGGCACATAGCTTTGTCTGACATCGACATTCTCTGCTCTTGGCGGAGTGTGCCGAACATGCATTTGGCTACCATGTGTCTTCCCTATGAGCATTCTGGCATGCAGGTTTTCTGAGGATAAAAGATGTGTTTTAGTTGTTATATTTCCTGTTGCTAGAGCAGCTGGCAGGAAGTAGGTGCTGAGTGAAAGACAGAGAGGAGAAGCATGAGACACCAAGGAACAGATAAGGGGCTCACAGGTATGGGTGGGGTCCCAAGGAGCAGATAAAGAGCTGATGCTATGTGGTACCCTAGTAGTGAAAGATCACAGCCCTAGTGTCTTAACCAGGCAGGAAGGAATCTATGGGACCAGTCAAGGAAGGATGTGACTTTGGCCAAGTCATCCAGTAAGCAGTCTGATGCAAAACCTAGATTCTAGGTGATTCCTTAAAGTTCACCAGAGGGATGATCCTAGCATCAGGCTCAGGGGCAGACAGGTATAAGAACCTACATTCTGCTCTGTAGCACACATGACTGTCCTATGCCAATAGGAAGATGCAGAGCCCCCCGTCATAGCTGGGTATCTTGTTCCTTCAAGTTCTTCCCATCTATGCATTCCCAGATAAGCCACTCAAACTTGCTGATCCACGGTTTCCTGGATGATGAGTAGACTCAGTTACCCTGTTCCCTATACCTTCTATCCAAGCCATAGAAGGCTCCCAAGCCTCATGAACTCTAGCCATTTTTCTTTCTCACCACCAGGCTACACCCCGCTGCCTTATCACTTCTGACCATCTGCTTCTTCCCTCCATACAGCCTGCCCCTGCGATTTTGGGTCAACATGATCAAGAACCCTCAGTTCGTGTTTGACATCCATAAGAACAGCATCACAGATGCCTGCCTCTCTGTGGTGGCCCAGACCTTCATGGACTCCTGCTCCACATCGGAGCACCGGCTGGGCAAGGATTCACCCTCTAATAAGCTGCTCTATGCCAAGGACATTCCCAGCTACAAGAACTGGGTGGAGAGGTGAGTGTGGCTCAGGAAACCATTTGAGGGTGCCTGGAACAAGCCACATTCCTGGACCCAAGGCTCCCCTACAAACAGGCTGGGTGCTTCCAGCTAGTCACTGGCACAGCTGGTCCTGTAGCCGGAACACCCATACCTCACTGCCTCCACACTGAAGCAAGTTGGGAAGCACGGTAGAACTAACCATGTAATCCACTTCCTTGTACAGAACGGCATGGATCTTAGTGACTGAAGAGTCTTTAGGCCCAGGAAAGAGATGTGATCCTTAATGTACTCTCCCCAGCTAATACATACATACACACATGTAAACCATCCACTCATGCATACCTCCGTACATATACCACACATACTTTCATGCATACCACAGCACATATACCATATGTACCTGCATAGACACACACATGCATATATGTATATACCATATATGTATACACAGAGATACCATAAACATACATATACTGTATATTGTTTACATGATATCATACATACATACTTACATACACATATCTATTTGCTATCCATATATAATGTGTGTACATGCCATACATATCACATTTGCATGCCCATATAACTATATATCATGTGCACACACATGCACATATATGCAATACATGTACACATACATTCATGCCATGAACACACATAAACTATACACATATGCATACTCTTATACAAACACAGATCCACATGCCATCCATACTTTTGTACACATACCATACATGCATTCATACATACACACATGGTGTGATGATTAGACTACAGGAGACTCAGTTGCGTCTTGTCTGGAGGCCTCAACCTGGCCCTCCTGTCCACCTGGCAGTCCTGTCAGCATTTCTTGGGCATGCCATTGTCACTTTCTGAATAGCTCCTCACTGTCCCAGACCCTTGACTCCATGCCCTGGGTTGTATAGTGTCACCTTGGATGTCATGACCCCATGAGTCCCCATGTTCCCTGGCACTGCTGTAACTGCAGACATGCCCATTCATTAGCTGTGAATCTGGACTCTGAGCCATCACCTACTCATGGAAAAAGAATGCCCATGGCTTGTCTAGTTGCATCAGCTCCCAGCACCAAGTACCTGAGCTAAGCAGCCAGCTGGAGTTTTGTGCATTGTGGTAGCCTTGTAATAAGGTAGGAATTGCAATCTCCCCTGATGCCTTTATGTCAAGGTTAAGAAATACACATTCAGAATAGTCACATAATCAGTGCAAGATGACACTAGAGTCCCAAGCTTCATGATATCTAAACCTTTCTGCTATGTATGATTCTGACAGGGTCTTTGCAAACCCAAGCGGTGCCTCTGTGTGCATTAGGAAGATGGTGGGAAATGGAGCCCCACCCTACAGGACATAGTTTTGCTGAATGGTGGACTACTTGTCAGTCTCAGCTCACCCTCTCATCCAAGACCTCTCTGCAGTGAACAACATGTATGGCTCTACATGGCAACCCTAACCTTGGACTCCTTTGCCTTTTCCAAGTAGCTTAAACATAGGAAGCCTGAAGACAAGCTCAGACTTGCTCAGACTTGCTGTTCAAGAGTAAGAGAGGCCAGAAGTTGACCCTGCCTTAGTGACTAAAAACAAAATAAATAGTATATAGAAGGGTTTAATTTTGTTTTTCTACGTTTTTAGGCATTCTCCCATCTCTTTCTCCTGTGAGGAGCACTTTAGCCTGGTTGTTAGGGAGAGAGCCACCTCTTTATTCTTATGTTAGATCAGGTCTGAGTCCTCGAGGGAGGTTTTCTCTTCCCTCTTCTTAGACAATGGAACCTTCTTCCTACAACAAGAAGAAGCCCTTGTGTGTGGACAGCCATTGACAGGAAGGTGGGGAGAGGTAGAGAGAGGGAGGAAGAGAGGGAGAGGAAGAGGAAGAGGGAGGGAGGAAGGGAAGGAGGGAGGGAGGGAGGGGGAGAGAGAGAGAGAGAGAGAGAGAGAGAGAGAGAGAGAGAGAGAGAGAGAGGGAGACTGGGCTTGGTCATTCTTACACAGACATGGGTTACTATGCTAGAGCCTTAGACAGGAACAACAGAACCAGGAATGTTTAGGATGGGGGAAATTAGGAGATACTCCTAGGATTCAACTGGGTGATCTGAGGTAAGACTGATACCCAGTCAGTCTCCCATTTTCCCTACACTTGGTGCCAAATGAGGCCCATGCCATGCACTTGCCAGGGGTCGTCATCTCTGGCTATTAATTATTTTTCAGGATGGTTGGTTTGTGTTCTGCCTTCTCATCCTACTGGACATCTTAACAACCAGTGTCTCTTAGGGAAGCCATGTTTATCTTGCCTGAGGTCCCAACCCCTTCCTCCTTTCCTTTGAGGTCTAATAAAGAACAACTGAGAAAACAATGTGGACGGGTCCAGAAAACAAAGCAAGAAATTCTTCATGATGAAAAGACCAAGTCCTCTTGTCCTCTCAAGCATCCTCCCACCATCGTTCCCTGTCTTTCTACCATACTCCCACTGTCTCCCACCTGTCCTTTCACTGTTCTTCCCAGCACCTTCCCACCCTGTCCTCCCGCCATCTTCCCATCTGTCATCCCAATAAGACATCTCCGTGGAAGTCCCACACCCTCCTCCTCCTGTCTTCCCATCGGTCCTCCCTCCGTCCTTATCCAACCTTCTTCTCCCGCTTCTGCCTCTACACAACCTGTAGTGCTAGTGGGCGGTGGCCCTGCAGACTCCCCACTTTCACTGGCCCCATTGAGTTTTTGCTTGTGGTCAAACTTAGACAGAAACAAGAGCCTCTTGCTTCCTCTAGAACTGCTCAGTGCTGCACAGACCTCATCAAGCAAAACTCAACAGTGCTGTCACCGAGAGCTGGTGTGTCGTGGTCAGCTGTCATTTCTGTTGCATCACCAGTAGCAGTGAGCTCTGCTTAGTTTAATATGCTTTTCTCTGATTTTTCTTTTCTTTGAGCTTGCTTAAAGATGAATCTTTCCGCCCATTGTACAAAGTGGTGGGTTCTATTGTGACACTGTCTACATGATATCATGTCCTCTGATTATACACACTCCATTCCCCTCTTATCCCCCCAATGTCCTGTTTTAATCTGGAGGAACCTCAGCGTTCCTATCAGCACGAGTCTCATTGACTTGTTGTCTGAAGACATCTCCTATAGAAGCTGAGGTGGGGAGCTGCTGCTGGCCCACTGGGAACCGGGAACCGACACACAGTAAGTGCTATCGTGGCATGAAGGAGGTGAAGAATTTTAAACATGTAAATGCGCCTTCCAAGGAATTCATCCGTAACAATGACGCTAGCCTTGGGAGCAGCACTGAGGGGAGGCTCATGCATCCGTCCACTTGTGGGACATTCATGCATCCATGGGCTTCATTATGGGTATACTGGGCACATGGGAGATGTTGGACCCGATCCCTCCCCTTGAAGTTCTCACAGTTGAATGTCTAACGGGTCCCACAAGCTGGAAGCATGGAGAGAAGAAATGAGTGAGGCCTTCATTTCTCTGGGACTGAAGACACCTGTCAGCCATTCAGAAAGGCCTGTGTGAGCCAGCTTTGGAGACAACAGAGCCTGAGGCTCAAAACATCGTTCATGCCTTCATCTCTATCCCCTCACTATCACACTCAGCCCAGGACTTCTGCCAGCACCTCACCCCATCTCTCTTTAAAATTATTAACACAGAAGAATCCAGCCCTCTGGAGCCTTGCCCTGTATAGCAGCATCTCCTTGAGGACTGATGTTGGACCCCCAGAGGCTGGCATCCCACCTGGCATCCCTCACCAAGGAGAGTGAACTGAGTCAAGAGCAAGCAGCAGCCAGCCTTCCAGGCTGCCGGGGTTGGCCAGTCCTGGACTTTCAGAGCATCAGTCCCTTCTGAAGAGGGGCTCACTGTAGGCAGAAATCCTGTAAGTTCAAGAAGGGGGTCAAGGCTGACCTTTCTGTTCTTCATGTGCAGCCAGCTGATGAGAACACTTGTTTGAAGCTCATTTTCAGGGCTTCATTGCATCCTTCACAATCAATAAGGCATCTCTGCAGAGGTCCCAGCACAAAGGCCAGCTTGGCAGGAGTGGGAAGGAAGCAATTGTGCTCATCACAGAGAAGACTCCACGCAGGGCTATGGTCAGGCTCAGCGGGGGCTGGTTAGGACGTGGGCTGGGCAGAATCCTGGAGCGGGGAGGAGTAGTCTAGGCAGCAGTAGCCAAGCCTTGCAGAGAGGACGAGACCACTTAGCAGTAGGAAGCCTGGGGATGAGAATGGGGTAGAAAGTCAGCAAGACCCCAAGTCACACACACACGCTAGGATTCTAAGCTGCCACTGAACACTCATCCAGAACTTTCCAAAGATGAGGTCATATAGAAAGTCCACTTGGGGGCTAGTAGATGGCCACAGACATGCCCTGGTCAGTCCAGCCTCCTCAAGACAAAGGTGAGTGAGGAGAGATCTTCGGGCTTACTCAGTGGGGACCTGACCTCACATTAGAGAGAAGGTAAGGCACAGCTAGCTGGCATGTCACTCACCAGCTTCAGATGACAAGGCTCTAGTCCCTGCCCTCTTCCTTATCCACTCTAATCATCCCAACCATTCCAAATCACTACAGAGAGAGAGAGAGAGAGAGAGAGAGAGAGAGAGAGAGAGAGAGACTCTTCCTAAATATTCACTTTGGAGAAATGCATTTTGCAAGTACCCTGCAAAAGGGACAGATGTTGAGCATCTGCTGTTTCTGGCAGGGAAAGGGTCCTTTCACTGTGGAAACAGTGATCCCTAGCCTGGGTGCCTGTACCCCTCAGGGAGCACAATGGCAGCAGGAGGAGTTCTGTACTGTTTGCAAGAAGCTTAACAGAATCTTCTGTCCACCTGTGGCAGGTTTAACAGGCAGGTAACAGGTGCAACTGGGGCCTTTGCTTCTCTTGGTGGCTGTGTCCTCTCTGTGGGAAGCTGGGGTTTTCATCCTGATCAGAGGCTCTGCTTTGCTGATGACAGAGTTGAACTGTCTAGACAAAGTTTGGACTCAGCCATGTTTCTCAAGTAGCTGGCTATAATACTGAAAGTCATAGTAAACATAGCTCAAGCTTCTCATGAGTATGACTGGAAAGGTAACCTCCTTTGGCAAATCTATCTTGCTTGGTAGTTACAGGAACAGTGGCACAAATCTCGGCGATGGGAAGGTCAGGAACCATTGCGGAAACTTCTGATCTTCTGTTGTAAAATGGAACATTGGCATTTATTAGGTCCAGAAATAGTTTACTAGTGCCAATGAATGGACACTTCTGCCTGACCTCTAATATTTGGACTGTCACTAACTCACCCAAACCATGTGCATTGGAATACTGAGACATGTGCTTTGGTATGGGCTGCCAGCCTTGAAGACAGCAAGGTCTCCTGGGGGTAAAGAAACCCAAAACAAAGCAGGTCACAGACGTAAGTAAGGCCTATGGGCTTCTGAGGACAGAAGAAGCAGGGCAGAGAAGGTTGTAAAGGGCTCAAGTCCACATGAGCCCAGTGCAGCACATTTCCCAAGGGCCCTCAGGCTGCTCTCCAGAAGGCCATATCATTTAACTTTTGTCTATATTCTTGCCTAGGCAATATGTCAGGGGCCAAGACTGCCTGGTTAGCCACAGTGGCACCCATTCAATAGGCAGTTAGCACTGTGTCTGTTTCAGGAAGCTGGGTTCCCGAGGCCACAGAAGTTTCCCCCTGACCACCCTCTTCCCTGGTGACCAAATGACCTCTCCCTGCCTCTACTCTCCCTGAAAATGAAGTAACAATCCCTGCAAGCTGTGGCTCAGGACAGAATACCCTTCCCAGTCCTCACCTACCTGGGAGTATTCTGGTGACGAATTGAGCTGTCATTCTTTTATAGACACTTGAGCTGATGGCTGGAAGAACCCTGAAGAACCATTTCGGCCAGCCTGTTACCCAAGTCCTGGGCACTGTTGAGGACAGGCAAAAGTCAGGGATGTGGCATAGGGCTGTGAGGATCGTGTTGGAGCAGTGAGGGATCTGAATTAGGAAAGACTCAAGGCAGGGCCAGAGAGACTGTCTGGAGGTCACCTGATGAAGGAAGTCTGAGTCCTGGGAAGTCTCAAGGTTTGTCACTGTCATCTGCACTCAGATATCCCTACAGTGAGTGTCTCTCCTTGAACTTCATGCTGGCACCTCTCCTGCTCACCTCTTCCCTGGCCTGGGACTTCCCTTATCCCATTCTAGCTCCTCAGGCAGCTGACTTCAGCCTGGCGGCCCAGGGACTTAGTGTAGCCTGGGCCAGCAGCTGCAAGGCCCCCTGACTTGCCAATGCCTCCCCATTTTTACGGTTATCTGTTCCCCTTTTTTGTTGTTGTTGCCATCTACTACCCCAAAGCATGTAGTAAAGAGTGAGAAAGAGCCCGTGTTCAGGGCACGGGGACCTCTCTGTTCCTCATTAGGAAACTGTACAACTCTCCTCTAGCGGAGGACTTGGGGGTCTGGTGCATAAAATGTCAAATTGCAGAAATTAAAAATGTAAATGCTGGCATCTAATTAACCAGTTGACAGCAGTGCACAGCTGCAAGTGACAGTGACTGATTGCCTTCTGCCAGCCTCCCTCTACTAGCAGCCCCCACCCTACTCTGGTTTAACCTCCAGAGAGCTCAGGCCACCAGGGAAAGAGCAACTATTCAGAAGAACCCTCCCATCCTGATGGAGGAACACAAGGCAGGCTGGAGCCCTGGACCAGAGTATGAAGCAAAGCAGACGCTCTGGTCTGAGGCCCTTTGACTCCTGGTCCTTCTCTGTCCACCCTCCTCAGATCCTCCCCTTTGTACCCCCTGTCTTCAGAGCTGTAAAGGCTCTTCCTGGCTGAGACACTGAATCCCAAATGGGAGAGACACTACTGTGGTTCACAGGTGGGCCCAACCCCAGCTCTGGGCATTTCCATCTCTCCTGTGTATTCTCTATGTACAACCACAGCTCCTCTCTGCCTCCTCGCTCTCCCACAGATATTACTCAGACATTGGGAAGATGCCAGCAATCAGTGACCAGGACATGAATGCGTACCTGGCTGAGCAGTCCCGGATGCATATGAATGAATTCAACACTATGAGTGCGCTCTCAGAGATTTTCTCCTATGTGGGCAAATACAGCGAGGAGGTGAGCCCAGCCTTGCCCTGCCAGGGCCTGTTGGGAAGGAGGGACGGCAGAGGTGGGGGCCGTGTCTGAATGCTTCATGTGTAGAATAGTCCCATGGATGCCACCCTACTGTCTGTGCCAGGGAAATTCTGCCAGCCAGGCTTAAGACAGCACTGCAAGACTGAGACAAGCACTGGGACTGATTTCATTACACATTCTCCTTCAACTCCTGTTTCTTCTTCTCAGATCTATAAAGATCTGTTTCTTTCATTCCTCTCCAACCCTACCCGGGACTGAACCCAGGGTCTCCCACATGCCAGTTCAATAGGCAGCTCTAGTGTAATGTCCCCAATTAAAAACATATTAACTGATGATGAAATCTAAAACTCAAGGAGTTTCTGAGTCTCCCTAAGCTCAGCCTCTACTCTCTATCCCCTAGCCCTCATCCCTCCTCTCAGATCCCAACCCCAGTACTTCTCACCCTGCTTGTCTGGCACTTCCTGCGAAGTAGGCATTGGGCCTAGGGTGCTCCTGTATGTGACCTGGTCTTATCCTCTGTACCCAAGCAGACCAGTGAGGGGTAACAGAGGAGGAAGCAGGGTTCATTCAGAAAGGTCACACGTTTTACCTCAGATCACCCAGGTGGCATGAACAAGGACTCAGTCTGGAATCTCCTAAGTCACTGGAGAATCCCAGAAACTCTTTCACAGATGCCATCATCACAACCCTCGCTGTCCTCTTCCAACTACCTGACCTCAGAAAAGGCTTTGGTAGACCTTATCCACTATGTGCCAATCAACAGTAGCACTTACCCCTCTAGGAATATTTGGCTTTTAAAAGGCAAAGTTAAGCTAAATGGCTTTCTACATGTGGCTGTTTTAGACCTCAAGGAGCTGATGGGGAAGCATTTTCTCTTTTGGAAGGAGGGGTGGGATTTGTTAAGATCATGAGAGCATAATCCAGTCCACTGAGCACCCTACCTTCGCATTGGATATGAAACTCCCAAGATGCCATTGAGCCTGTAGGTGATGGTAGCTTTTGTGCACAGGCATCTTCAGCAAAGCTTTCTCCTTCTGCCAGCTGTCTTTCACGGACAATGGAATGCACCATTATTCAGCTGTGACAATGCATGAGTTAGCATCTGATGCTCTTGGTCACATAGGTGCCCACATGCCTCCTACCTCTCCCCTACCCCTAAGTCACCCAGGCTGCCTGTTATGCAGCAATAGCAGCAGCTGTAGATGCACTGATACCCCTGACCATCTTCAGACTGTCTATATGTACCCTAGGAACACTGGTACACATATCCAAACTAGTAACCTTCCATTTTATGTCTTTCCACAGATCCTTGGACCCCTGGACCATGATGACCAGTGTGGGAAGCAGAAACTGGCCTACAAACTAGAACAAGTCATAACCCTCATGAGCTTAGACAGCTGAGAACCGTCCTTCCAGGGCCATCCTGGAGGGAGGGACACACCAACCCGTGCCTCAGTCTAGATTATCATCTTTACCAAGTGCAAGTTCCGACAGGCATCAGCAGCATCCCCTGAGCAGCACCATCTCTCCTTCCTCTCTTCCTGCCTCTTCTGTCTCTCCCTCCCTCCTGGGTCCCATCTCATTCAGTATGATTGCTTTGCCAGTATGACTGGACCAAGCCGCAAATCCTCAGTCAGTCCAGGGGTGGCCAGGCCCATGGCGAAGGACCTAACCAGAAGATGTCAGAGTGGGGCTCTTCTTCAGCTGTTCCTGATTCCATGCATCAACAGCAGGGCTCAAACAAGGATGAGGAGTGAGGACAGAGGATGTTCCTATGCTGCTACTTCACCTTCTACTCAGAATCCCCACTGTGGTCCAAAACTTGGCTTAGGGAAGCAGCTGTGAGCTCAGTATTATCTGAAGTGGGAGACATCACCTGGCTCTCCCTCCCCACCCTCCCAACTCCAAAGGGGACAGGCAGTGGCCTGGGTGCTCTGTCACTGAGGAGAAAGGCCTTGCTTTGTGCAAATGTTGGAGTGGGGGACCAGCAGGTGTTGGTAGATACTCTCAAGGGCTGCTGCTCACCTGTTGAGTTGGTGTCCAGCAGCCTTCTGTCCCTTCTAATCTCCTTGTATGTTTTCCAAGTGACCATACGGACCGGCCTGCCCAGCTTCCTCCTCTTCCTAGGGAAAGGAAGGCAGGGGAAGAATAGCCGTTACATTCCACCATAGAGATGCTCCTACACCATGTAATCTGGCTCCATAAGAAAGAAATGTAACACGGAAGGGGAAAAAAGGAAAGAGAGTCACACTGATTCCAGAAGCAACATTTGTTGTTCTCAATTCATCCCCAAGCGCAAATGCATCATGAACATAGTGTTGGGTCCTTTTCCAGAGCCTCGAGTACTGTCTAGAGAGAAGGCATCCCCACTCTCCTCTGTCACCATCATGAAGGGTCACCAAGAAATGCAGAGTGCATCTGGGAGATACTACCTCCAGCCATCTCCAAGACTCCATCCCTCACAGTCTTTTAGAACTCCATAGAAGGCCAGGGCAGACAGCTCAGTCGTATCCTCCCTGCAGAATCTGGTGCCGTTGCTATGCAGATGTCTTTGTCACTAGACTCTCCAGGCCTCCATGGGAGTTATTTCATCAGCATCTTAGTTGTCTTTTCAGTGGTTCTTCTTCCTGTTCTGTCTGCAGTCATCATTTGAGGAAAGAAACTCCAGCACAGCCTCATCAGGACAAACCAAGATGCCAGCCAACCTCAACCACCAGCTTGTTGTGCCTGGGAGGGTCTGGAGAGCCAAGTTGAAGGATCTGGCTGGATATGGAGAGCAGCACATACTGCTGACCGTGGCCTTGATACCCATTTCTTTATCTGTCCTTCCATGTATGGATCTGCCAGTTTGTTTTAGCTAGTCAGGAAAATGTGTGCTCGGGAATGAGCACAAGGTGAGAAGTGGTCATGATAAGAGGCGTTCTATTAGTGGGACCTGAGAACCTACAATCTTGAGAGGTTTTTGCGTGCTGAGTAGTCCGGCCTCCACCATCTACAGGAATCTCTTTTGGCAGTGCTGGTTTCATGTCCACCACTGGGGGAGATGAGGAGAGGCATGATGGATGGTGGTGTTAGTGGCGATCCACAGTCTTGCCTTCTTTTACTCCCCAAGTATCATTTGTCGTTTCTTGCTATCACTCAAAATGAGCCTCACATGGAGAAGGAGCTCTACTATTTCCAGCAAAGTCCATGTGTCATCTGCACTTTTAAGGACATTAACCCCTTGGGGGGGGGGGAAGGAGGGAGGGAGGGAGGGAGGGGGAAAAAGAGAGAGAGAGAGAGATAGAGAGAAACATTCCCTTATGAGTCAGCAGAGAGTACCAAAAGATTTCTTATCCCACGTACAAGGATGTTGAGGCGAGTCCCTTCTCCGTTCCCTGACTCATCCGTCTCCCACAGCTTTGTACACTTCCTCAATACTTGCTTTCAATGCTGAATGCTAATGCCTGGAAAGAGGGGTCTCCTGTCCATAGGAAATCAGGGTGGTCACCTGCCAAGGCCTGGACTTTGGTGACCCAGAGCAGGGGTATTTTGTGGCATTACCATGAACAAATGGAAAAAACATAAGCCAACCTAACAGGAAAAGGAAGAAGGAAAAAAATGCATTTGAAAGGGTGGGGTGTGCACCAGAAAACCAAAGGTTTTGGCAAATGAAGTGCCAGTTGGAGACGTGGAATTTCTATCCCTGATTATTTTTTTCTTCCCAAGAACCCACAGGACATGGAAGGCTACAGGGTGCATGTGGGGGTGAGGCTGAGGGAGCACCTCAGCCACTAAGATACTTTTGCACATATGAAGGATAGGGGAGGAGAGAGAAATGAACCTATTTAACACAGATTTGCAAAATGGAAGCTCTGTGTGTGTGTGTGTGTGTGTGTGTGTGTGTGTGTGTGTGTATGGATAAGTGGCTTTGATTTCTTTGAGTTTTGCACAGTTAGAGAAAAAAGGAACACGTAGAAAAAAGACTGTCACCATGGTTTTGCTGAAGCTTTTGATTTTTACTTGATGATTGTATTATTTTGTCGGTACAGAACTTTTTTTCCTTATGTTTCTGTTATAAGCAAAACTTCAAACACCTCAAGAGAAACATAAATACCAGGAAGAAGGCAAGAAGGACACTCAAGTTTCCAGGGTCTCCTTGTTTCTTTTGAAGGGGGCTTTGTGTAGGCATTTTACTTTAATTGGTGATGTGGGTTATTTCTGGTGCTTTGTTTTATAGGCAATCCTTGTGGCCTGCTTGGAGACTCAAGAAATTAAGGCCTCACCCAGAGCCATGATCCATTTTACCTATAGAAATCTTTTTGCTGTTTGTTTTCCATTTCTTCCATTTGATTTCTTGGTGCAAATGTGATACATTTAAAAGCAAAGACAGGCAACATTGTCCAAAAGCTGTCATGACCTTCCCAGATCTTTTCCAACTCCCCTCAGGATTCTCTAGCTCCTCTTGGCTGACCAGAGACCCCAGTGTTCTGTGAGCTCCCAAGGAAACAAGTCACAGAAACTAGGGCATGCGGTACAGTAGTACCCTAGCTCTCTGTCCCTTCCAGAGTTCATTTGTAAGGTTGCAGACCTGTGGAAGGTAGAATCTGTATCTTTCTCCTGGAGTCTGTGCAGAGGGCAGGGGAGGAAAGATAGTCACTCTCACCTCCCCTTCACCTCACCTCTTCATCCTCCTGCCCCCGACACCACTGGATTGAAATGGTACTGATCACATATCAAAAATGACTAGCCAAGTTAAATGAAGCTTTGAACATTGGAGGAAGAGGACTGGGACAAGGAACAGGGAATTTCATGAGGTCTTGCCAATAGAAGAGAATTTATAGAAGAAATCAAGAAAGATAGCTTCTGGCTGGTCACTTCTCCCATGGCATGTGTCTCCCTAAGTGTGGGTATGATCATGTCTCTGTCCTTTCCTGTAAAGAGAGACCCTGATGTTTCTTAGTGCCATGAAGTCTGGTTGGCTTTTGTGTCAGTTACTTCCTCAGGAAAATATTTTCTTGCCTTCTTCTTTGAATATGTATTTAAACTTGGGGACAGAGGATAACCTGAATATCCCCTGAGGTCAAGGTACTTTGCAACTCCGTGTAACATGCATGGCCAGAGCCAGTCCCCGACTCCTCAAAGTTGGGAGCTGTCAACCCCATAGTAAGCTCAGGACACCTGAGTGAACCCAGATTCAGAAAGAGAAATCCTTTAAAAGAATCCCAAAGTTCAAGGCAGACTGTCCAGGACTGTTCCCAGGGAGAAGCAGGAGTTGCTAATAGATAAGGTCACTGTGCCTCTAGGCTCAGCTTCCAGTCCCACTAGGTTAACATTGATGTAATGCCTCAGCATTTCCCCGGCCCTAACATTCCATCCCCAAGGTCTTTGGTGCTCTAGTGCCCCTACCCCATTCCCTGGCATGTTTGGTTCCTGACTGTGCCCCACCCCTGCAGCAAGCTTCCTCCCTATTCTTCTGTGGCCTCTTGCCCAAGGAGCCACCTCCCCAAGGCCCAAGTATTGATTCTGCTCAGACACTCATCCATCTGGGAGTGAGTGCATTCCCATCCCACCCAAAGCTGCCTCTCTGAGTGACAGGGGTTCCATCCTCCTGCCAAGGCCCTGTGGGTTCTTCCCCAGAGGAGCCACATGTGAGAGTATCTCAGATGACCTCCAAAGGGCAAGGCTCTGCCACACTTTCTAGCGCCCTGGGACATACTGCTGTGGTCCATCCTGGCCTAACCCCCTCTCACTTAGACATAAAAAGGACAGCCTCCTTTCTATCAGCCTTCTCTTCCAGTACTCCCTATCTTTGACTTCACAGGATTCCAAGTGAATATTTCACCATGAGAAAGGCCAGTATTCCAGTAATCAGGAACAAACTTTCCCTCTTCCTCAGAGAAAAAGCTGGGAGCCAGGGAACAACTGACATCAGGAGGCATTCCTCTTATGTCCCTTCCAGGAACAGCACTCAATAACAATTCCAACACATTCCTAAAGGAAGCTTGGGGCTCAGGGGGCTTTTCTGTGTGTGAACCAAGCTGACCCTGTCCAGGTAGCTGGCTGTCCTTCCCTCCATGTTCCTCACCCACATCTCATCCTCTAAGGACTGGTGATGGTGACTCTGACTACTCAGCCACTTCCTTTGGCAAAAAGCTGTGGGATATATGATTGGGATCTTATCATTCATTATTTTTTGCCTATACATTCTAAGAATTTTAAAGTAAAGAGGGAGCCCAGGTGTGGACATAAAATGACTGGGGGGAAGAGTTATGCAAAACTCTACTAGTGACTTCTAAGAGAATGAGGAGAGCCTAGGTGAGAATGAGAAAGCCATCCCTATTAATAAAGTAAGGGGTATGTAAATGCCTCGCATGTGAACTGTCAGCATGCCAAGGGAGGCATCCTCCATGGCTGCTAATTCCCTCAGTGCTTCCCCTGTGCTTTTGATGGACAGATCCTTCTCCTCCTAACTCTGGCCAAGTTGCCCCAGGGCATTCTGCATGAAACCAACTCAAGCTTCATTTTACAAGTAGGCAGCTTTACCATCATTTGTGATGGTAAAGGCAGCTCCTAAGAGAGGCTAGGACACTACAACAGCTCCTGGTATTCTGAAGGGGGCTACTAGCGGAAAACTAAAGGACCATTCCTTCATTCGTAATCACTGAAAGAAAAGTTTCAGATATTAGGAGAGACTTTTTAAAACTACAAATCATTACTCCCCAGTAAAATTGCTTTTTATTAGAGGCAGTTTCCAAGATGAAAAAATATAGATCTTTTGGTTGGAAACATAATACATATTCATTAGCACCCCATCGGAATTCTTGAGTAGACTGATGGCTACCAGAAAGCAAAGCAAAGCAAATACAATCCTTGAGGAGCAAAGGGAACTTTGTTCTATCTCCTGGTAGAGGTGGCGAGGGGTCCAGGTGGAGGGGGCCTTTAGCTGGAGAGTCTCGTCTCACCTGCCTTCCTCCTCCATGGACTCATGTCTAGCTCTGGCTCTCTAGGCTGCCCCTGGGATTTGCTGAATCCTTCACATTTCTCCCTAGCTTCCCTCAAACTGCAGGGAGGCTTAGTCTGGGGGTGCCCAAGCTCCCCTGCCCCAAGAATGCAAAAGCAAATAGGCTCTGTCTATGCAGCTTCTCTTCTGCCAGTTTCTTTTGTTTGTACCTTTAAACTTAAGACTCAAGCACATGTTGGAAGGGCTCCCTTATGAGAGCAGAATTCAAAACAGAGGATACAGTTAAAGAGAATCCCCAAAGACACTGCAAAGCGGAGACCACTTTAGCAAACAGAACTAAGGAACACTTTTGTGCAGAGGTCACCCACACAGGAGCACAGGGCAAAGATGGGCTACATGTCCTCATCTGTCCTCCCCTGTCCCTTCTCCAGCGTTCTTGTCAGCTTCTTGGCTTGTTAAACCTTCCGTTCTTTAAAAATAAAAGCTAGTTTACCTCAAAGAATCTTGTTTCCATTTGGAAACCAATGACTCAGCTTGAGAATGGATGACCCTCCCCACACCGCTCCCTTCTTGGGCCTGGTATGCTTAGGGCATGTGGTTGTAGCTTAATCCTGGTCAGGCCTGAAATAGGAAAGAAGGATTGGATACAACCTTCCCCCATACTTAGCATGTAGGGAACAGCGGCTCTTTCTTCCAGCAGGGTCTTGACAAGTTACCATAGCAACCAGCAACTCCCTTACTACAAAAGACAATGGCTCCAAGAGCTGAGGTGTGGAGGTGAGCAGGAGTTCTGGTCTGGTCACAGGACCCAGAATTAAGCCCTGAACGCTAGAGGGGAAGGAAGAGAACTAGGAATGGATGCATAAATGGGGTAAGGAACTGGTAGAGGTCTTTTGAGTCTCAGAAAAAGGACAGTGAAGGAAGTAGGGCAGGTTATTTCTGTTCCACTTACCCCTTTCCAGCCCCACCCTACTTCTGTTCCAAAGTCAAGCTCCCACCTTGAACACTGACCCTTCCTTAGAAGAAAGCAAAACATACCTTTAGACAACAGTGTTACGATGAGCCTCAAAAATAGGTGGATGGGATCTCTGAAAAGAGAGGGTCTTCTGGTTTTGATTTTTAAAGAAGAGTATCCTAGTGAGATTTAAAAAAAGATTTAAAAAAAGTTTTTAAAATAAAACCTATGCTATTTAAATTGGAGCCCAGTTGTAACTTGGTAAAGGCAAGCTTCTGTACCTTTGTTATAATTAATTGTATACCTGTGTATGTAAATATAAGGCATT